GATGACGATTTTGACGTCATTTGGCTTATCTAAAATGACTACCAAAACTTAAATTTGCTGTCAGTTCAAAGCGTTTGCCTCAGTCTTTGTGGCAACTACTTTGATCGTAATTTCTAAAATTGACAGTTCTAAACTCAATTTCACCCCTTACTTACAATGGGACCTTGTAAAATTTAGAGAGTAAAATGAATTACTTAGTCTTCTCTGTCACTAGTGTCTGTGTTTAAAATTATTTCTATTCCATTAACATTTAAACAGAGCATTCCACCCCCCCTGCTTCATTGCTTATCACTTGGCTTGTTTACATAATGCATTCCTTAGCTCAGGCTAATGGCTAGTTACAGAAAGGAAATAATTTTTTTGTCTGTCTTGCCTAAAATCCAAAATGTCGTCCGCTCTGTTCTGAGTGACTCTGGCAATATACACTTTTAATTTCTATCTTAGCATAAAATGTCTGCCGATATAAATATCCTGACAAGTGGCAGTCACTCAGACAGCCATTTGAGGTGGTACCCGGGTCAGTGCTGCACAATGTGCAGCACTGACGTTCAGCGTCTTCACACTCTGCATGGATGCTTTGAATGTTCCTCGTGGAGATGCATTGATGCAATGCATCTCTATTAGGAGATGCTGATTGTCTCAGTGCTGCATTTTGCCGCATATGTGAATTAGCCTCCCAATGCTTACCTGGATGGGCTGAGATCATCAAGATTGGTGATCTCAGCTAAGGCGGGGCGGGGCTGGACACCTAAACTGTGTTTTCACACCTATAGTGTCCCAAATACACATTTGTATTTCTGATACTATATTGTTCCTTTAGTTTTAGTGTATAGCTCATGCCCCTTCAGCCTAAGCCACACCTCTCCTTGCTGGGACTTACACAGCTTTTTATGAAAAAAGGGTTTCATTTTCAATCAGACGTTAACTTACTTTAGAAGTTTTTAAAGGCCTGCTTTCTTAATTGAACTTTAATCACACATAGGAGGCTCTTGCAGGCTAATAACAGGGTAGGAGAAAATAAACTATAAATTAAACAGACTGTGCAATAAAGGAAGTTTAAACATAAGATATATTTTTGCAGGATTTGTTTAGGAATACTATGTAAGTCACATGCAGGAAGGTGTAACTAGAGCTGCTTAAACAAAGTGATTTAAATCCTAAATAGAAGAGAATTGAGCAGAGGCATGGTATTTACACCACAACCACTAGATTAAGCTAAAGCTGTTTTGGTGCCTACAGTATGCCTTTAAGAGGCAATCACATTGGGTGAAGGTTTTTTTTTAAAATGATGTGTTATTTATATGTTTTAATTCTTGCCTCTTTTAGATCATTCAAACGTATATAAACCGAACAGGTTCAACGTATCAGCAGCTGAAGATCTTGAATGTGTGGCGTGTGGACAGAGAGAGCGAGGTCAGTAATGATTTGGCACCATTCTATACTTACAAAAACTTTGTGTCTATTGCTGTGTACTTGCTTTAAACTTGGTTAAGCAAGTATGGATATTTAAAGATACACTCCAGTTTGTGTAGGTAATGGTTAACAAAAAAAAAAATATGCACACACAAAAACAGCTCCCGTATTTGATGTTAATACCCAGGATTTGCAGCTTTCTCGATGGTGCTCTTTTCAAACTATAATATACCTGTTATCTGTCAGAAAAGTGCATACCTGTAAAACTTTTTAAAAGAGGTGTTTTTTCTTGAAATTGGCCCTTTTAGAATGTAAGAAAGATGGAATACATGGGATGTACGCTTAACCTCCTTATCATTCAATTTAGTCATTTTTCATTTACTATAATTATTATTCTTATATTATATAGAAATGTGGTGTAAAATACACCACCTAGTGGAGCGCTAATACAAATAAAAGTGATAGAGGAGTTCACTTACACCAGCAATTTAGTGTGGTCTTAAATTCAGGAATATGCTTTTAAACATACCAAAGAACAAAGAAATAAAAAAAACATAGACGGTTTTGGTGAAAATGAGTGATGGAATTAAAAAAAACTAAAACCACTCACATGGTCTGGAGCCTATATAATATTGGCTCTGTACGTAAGCCTTTGTGCTCTTTGGGCAGCAACACACCCCTTCCTCTGAGATGTACCTCCACAACGACAAGGAAACAAAAGGAGAAAGAGACCCAATGGGTGGTATATGTGCAAACAGGCAGGTAATATATATAGGTGGTAAATGTTATGCTCACCTAGTTGAGAGCCTTAAATTCCTGGCAATCAGGGTGGTCAGCGATGTGCCAAAATGAAGGGATGGCACTTCCCTGTAAAGATTCCCAGAGGCTCCAAGGACTTCAATGGATAAAGAAAATTAATTGATTCCAAATAAAAAGTTAATTTAAAACCAGGAATTTGGAGTATAAATTTGTAAATAAAAAGTCCACGCGTCTGTGAGCTTCCTCAGTCAGCTGTATCTTATATTGGTGATCTTCTTTTACAGGAAGACCGGATCGGCGAGCATAAAAATATTACTAACCGGCGCCTGCTCTGGCATGGCACAAATGTGGCAGTGGTAGCCGCTATATTAAAAAGTGGCCTGCGTATAATGCCACATTCTGGAGGACGAGTAGGGAGAGGGATTTACTTTGCCTCCGAGAACAGTAAATCTGCAGGCTATGGTAAGGTGGCAGCAAAACTAGGATCTAGACTGTAGATCAGTTATTCCTCTGGTATTCTGCTTGAGATCTCATACATTCTTGCACTAATGAACATGGGTACGGTGGGCTGCTATTTATTAGGTATTCTGATTTTAGGGTGTTCGTATTCACGGTCAGCATATTAAATATAACCGTCCTGTATAGATTTGGCTCCAGTGTTCCTAATAAAGCAACAGAACATTCTGCTCATGTGCTGGAATACATAGAATGGGTGTGATTTTATTATTGGCCTATTTCACTGGAGTTGTTAAAGGGGCCATACCTTTTTATTTATAGAGCAATTACAGACCACAATCAGGACATTATTCACTAAAAGGTGATTTTATCAAGAATTCAAAGTGAATGTTACATTTTAGGCCACAATAGCGAAATGAAAATATTCTCCTAATCAGCTATGCTTTCTATTTGTTTTTTTTGGCCTGCAAAAATAAAATGTAAATTCACTCTGCATTGAAGACAAATTCATATTTCAGTGAACATTGGTAGTATGATTTTTACACAGAATTCCACAAACTATTAAAAAAATATGTGAAAGGAATAATCTAAAATTAGGAATACAAAAATACAAATGTCTAACTATTTAGATTATTGCTCACCCACCACCCCCAGAAAGGTGAAATAAAGCATTTTAACTTGCCTTATATCCCAGTGCTCAGTGCAGACGATAGCACTCTAGGCACAGTGAGCATAGTGTCCACCATGGAGGGTTAAACCGCAGTGAATTGTATATATTGTATGAATTTTTGCAAGGCGTATGCATATAATCAATGCTTTTTCCGCTTGCAGTTGGATGCACGTCTAATAGACGTGGAATCATGTTTTTGAATGAAGTGGCACTGGGAAAGGAGCATCATATCACACGTGATGACAGTTCTTTGCGTGCTGCACCAACTGGCTATGACAGCGTTGTGGCACGTGGCTATACAGAACCAGGTATTGGCATCAAAAACGAAGGAGAAATTCTATGCAAACAGTAAAAAATTTATCTTAAAGGGCTGTAGTTCGGCCTGCGAACCAGCAGAGAAAGACGTTCGCAGTACTAAAGGTGTGAATGAATCCTGGATGATGCAGTTCCTTTAAAGACGTGATGTCGTGAAAATAAAATGTATTTTAAAGGGCTGTTCGGCCCGCGGACCAGCAGAGGGAGCCGTTCGCAGGACCGAATGTGAGTATAGATCATATTTAGGCCACGTGGAGCATTCGGTGCGGTCTGAGGAGGGGAGCTGGCGCCAGGTAAGTTCATGACAGAGACGAAGCAACTTAGAAGAGAACAGGAGGTTAAAGTGCAAATGGTGTCCAGATGCTCTTAGACTTTTACTTATGGATATGGTCAAAGACTGGGCCATCATTGGTTTAAGCCATTCCTGTTGCATGTAATAATCAAGGCCTTTATGTATAGTATATCATTTTTCATTTTTGAACTAACTAGTCCCACTGTCATTGCAGATCCTTCCAAGGATCGTGAACTGGTTCTGGATGGCCGCAAGATTATTGTGCCGCAAGGTGCACCAATACATATCAGCAAGTATGGGAATAGCAGTTTCTCTCAGAGCGAGTACTTAGTGTACAAGGAAAGCCAAGCTCGCATTCGTTACCTTCTATTGCTTCAGTTCTGAACATCCTTCTCTGGACCCTCATTACCACTTTTTACTCCTAAATTTTGTAGGAGTAGATTGACTTGGATTCTCATTAGGAACTATTACATGTACAGCATAGCTCTCTGTATGTTATGTTGCTGTGAAGTATATGCACATATACAGAATCTATGGGCATCCAGTATGCTTGCACCTAAATTTCAGTATCTATTGATTTATATATATATGTTAATTCTGATAAATATATATTTCTGATATATACATGTAATGTATAGCTAGACGCAACAGAACTCCATTTTTTTTATACACCCGTGCTTATAAATATGTATAGAGAGTTTAAATAAATTTGTTCTAATAACAAATTTAACTGTTGGTTGTTTTCTTTTTCTAGCCTAGTACCCAAGACAATGTAATAACATGAAAAATCTTCTTTGAAAAAGTCCTTAAAACCCAAGACATTTAGTTTAGTAGTACAAGTGACATTCTAAGTACCAAAAATAATTCATATTAATGAAGTGGTTATGGTGCAAAGACCCTGTCCCATCCTTCTGGCAATGTAAAACGCTGTCACTACAGCCCTCCAGTGGCTATCCTCATTGAAGACTATATATTGTTATTGGAAATCTTGCCATCCATGCAAAGCATTAAAGGGATCCTATAGTGCCAGGAAAACAAAGGTCGTCCCCCCTCATGCCCCCTTCCCCTGTGGGGCTGAAAGGGTTAAAACCCCTTCAGCCACTTACCTGAATCCGGCACTGGGTCAGGCTCCTTGGCTTAGGTCGGCGGGGGAGACCTAATGCGCTTGCACGGTAATGGCCACACGCGCATTAGACCACACGCGCATTGGATAATGCTTTCCTATGGGGAAAATCTGATGCTGGAGGTCCTCATGCAGAGCGTAAGGACGTCCAGTGTCAGATAACGGACCAAAAGTCCGTTTGGATTCCGGAAGCCCTCTAGTGGCTGTCTGGTAGACGGCCACAGAGGGCAGACTTGGAGCTGCAATGTTAACATTGCAGTTCTCTGGAACTGCAATGTTTAACATTGCAACACTAAGTGCAAAAGGGACACGGCACCCAGACTACTTCAGTGAGCTAAAGTGGTCTGGGTGCCTACAGTGTCCCTTGAAGCCACTAGCTATGCTGAGAAAGATTCTCAAAGAGAACATATGGATTTATTACCTTTCTATGAGAAGCATCTGATTGGCTAAGCAAGGTTATCACTGCACATGAGCAGTAGGTTATTAGTGCTTCTCTGTGTGCTTGAACCAGAGATCTGGCTAGTGTCCTGGGCTTTGTGGTAACATTTTACTCTCTAGATGCAGATAAATTCGCACCTGCTCTAGGTATGTCATTCTTTTGAGGACTATATTAACCCGCTTTAAAAAGTTACATGTGACCAGATATGACAGCTGAACATTAGGATTAAAGACATCTAGAAAATGGAGGAACCTGCTGTATTACCTATCTTAATGGCAGGATTTCATTTTATTTTATTTCATTTTGTTCTGCCAACCAAAGTCAGAATTGTCAAGAACTCTAAACAAATTCAACTTGAATTTTCCATTTAATGTCAACGTACTTGAACTGAATTAAATCTGCAAGTCTCCAATGCTTTCAGTTTGGCTATTTGTGCCTTAAATTTTATATTCAATCTAAATTCCCAACAATTCTCGCTTTAGTAAAAAACCTTGTCGCAGTAGCCATACATTTTCATATCTTCTTCAGAGTCTTAGCTTCTATGCCTGCTCCCTGGGACCTGATGGCCCAATGTGCTAGAGGGATGATGATAACTACCTGAGCGGAACTATTTCTATACATATATTTCAAATTATTATTATATCCGCTTCATGCATCTTCTACCCCATTAGCTGTTAAATGTCTGAGAACACATGTCAAGTCACTTAAACCCAGCACAAGGACAAAGTCAGATTTTTACTGTATAATGACTGCAGAATGATTTGTCATGGTTTTTAACAAGCAGAATGGCTGTGTACACATTCCTGCTTTAGACAATCTAGACACTCAGAATGTCCCTGCTGTTACTTCCCATTCCAAAGGTTCGTGGATCCATGGTGCAGTTCTGAGTTGCAAACCACCTTAGCTTGGACCAATCAAGACAAGCACAAATTGTTGTGTGCCTAATATCTGGAGCAATCCTTACTCTATGGAGACTGCTTCACCTAGGGGCGGACACATGTTTACAGTGAGGCAAACCTAGGGTGTCAGATTGAAGCGGGTTAATTATGGGCTTTTATTCCCTAAAGACAAGTCCAGATTAATGCAGAGCCTGATGGAGCACAAGCTTCAGACCCATGTTCCACTAGACCCATGTTCCACTAGACCCAAAGTAAGAAAAATATATGGGCATATATGACTTGTCGCACTTGTTTTTGGGGGTGTATTGTAATGTTTGATCTTGCTGTAATTGTGCCAGTAACGAGTGAGGACAGTTTGCCTAAAAGTTTGATTGTCTAGTTAGTACATTATCACATGATGTTGAGTTGTGTCCTATTTAACATTATGATTCACTGGGATTGGCCTCTTTACTATCTACCTACCGACTTATTAACGAATATTATGCATGTATACTTTGCTACTATACGATGTATTATCATTAATTGTATTTTATCCATTGTACACATATAGTTGCATTATTTGGCATTCTGAAGGCACGCTTGACCTAGCAATGTGTTAGCCATCACAATGTACAGTAAGGGAATACAAATATACCTGTGATTGAGATAGTTTGTCCCTTGAGAAAATCTGAGTTTTGTCAAAACATTGGGACAGAGATCACAGATTTCTTTTTATTAGCAAAGTCATTTGTTTACTTTATTTTGTATATTATACTTGCTTTAGTTGGGTTTCAAATTAGCTTTTATTTATTAATATAAAAAAAATGTAAAAAAAAAAGTAATGTTTGTTTTTTTATCAATTTCTGGCGTTTTAATTTACAGTTTACACTGAATATTTTCCTGCATTGTGTCAATACAGGTTGTTTATCCTTACTAATTATTAAGGCTCTTCACAATTGCTAGCAGGTACATCACTAACGACAACTACACAATAATAGAACCCATTAACATTGATTTACAATGGTTTATTGGTTTAAGCATAGTTTTTTCTGAAATATTGTATAAAGTCAAGACAAAAAAAAGCAAGTGGCTACTTTCTAAATTATTGTACATCATTTTGTTTCTATGTTTTAAATGAAAGAAATATTGCTGCATGAATTAGAATAATGCTGGTAATAAAGATTTTAAGGTTATTAAATCCCACTTCATGAACTACGGTTTAGTTAAAGGGACACTCCAAACCCCTAAAGCACTTCAGCTTGCTTGTGTGAAGAGGGATGTCATTTTTTCATTTTACAAAAAGTGCCATCATAAATTTTCCTTGTTACATCCCATGCCTGTCAAACGTGTCCTGTTTTGTTTTAACTCCGTGGAGATAGTGCAAAAGGTAGTTTATTGCCAAGCACACCTGCCTTTCAAAGACTTCTTCATTGAGTAAAAAAGGTTAGAAGAGGGGGGCTTGCAAGTGCTTAACACAAAGATCTGTAGTTTTTGTAAGCTGTTTCCGAGAGATACAATCAATTAAACACATGCATGTTATCATTGGGAGTATATCTACTAAACATTGATTTTATATATATATATATATATATATATATTATTTTGGCAGTGGAGTCTCCCTTTAATGATTTAGTGTATTTTCTTCAACTGCTACACTTATCATTAGGGAACTGCATTTATATTGACATATTAATATAATATTTAATAGCACACCTTATATCTACTCTCTAAATCCATTACATCCTCATTTACACCTAGAGCTCACATTTGTTACAATCATTTAATCACAAAAACCCAAGCACCACGATTTCCATTTTAATAAAAATGGTGTTACTGTTCACTAGGAGATTCCCTGATATGCAACTCTCCACTCATTTCAAATTGCCCAGAAAGTCCAGAAGTCCTTTATGCCAGGTTTCTGGGTCATCCAGGTAGCAAGCATGCCCTGCCCCTTGCATGCACAGTACTCTATGGTTGGGCAGGTTTTTCAGATTACGAAGTGACATTTCTCCAAGTTGCTCGTCCTTGTCCCCGTATACAATGAGAGTGGGTACCTGCAATATCAGAGAACAAAAAAGTGTCGTTCTAGAATTTGCTCCAGAGGATAGGTTGTTATTTTCTCAAAAGTCTTTCAGATATACAGTGAGGGAAAAAAGTATTTGATCCCCTGCTGATTTTGAACATTTGCCCACTGACAAGGAAATGATCAGTCTATAATTTTAATGGTAAGTATATTTTGACAGTGAGAGAGAGAGAATAACAAAATAAAATCCAGAAAAATATGTCTAAAAAGTTATAAATTGATTTGCATATCAATGAGTGAAATAAGTATTTGATCCCCTATCAATCAACAAGATTTCTGGCTCCCAGGTGTCTGTTATACGGGTAACAAGCTTAGATTAGGAGCACTCTCTTAAAGGGAATGCTCCTAATCTCAGTTTGTTACCTGTATAAAAGACACCTGTCCACAATCGCAGTCAATCAATCAGATTCCAAACTCTCCACCATGGCCAAGACCAAAGAGCTGTCCAAGGATGTCATGGACAAGATTATAGACCTACACAAGGCTGGAATGGGCTACAAGACCATCGCCAAGCAGCTTGGTGAGAAGGTGACAACAGCTCCTCTGTGTCTTCTGGGCAATGCACCCAAATCAAAGATGGCGGTCGCGCACATCACAAGCTCCGCCCCTCAAAATTATACGAACGTGCGCTTGACGTCACAACGTCCATGCACGCACACGTTCTGGGGTCAGAGGTTGCCCTTGCCCTGTCGTGGTTTCCTGTTCCTGGTTCCCGAGAGTGCGTTTATCCTTGTGATTCTGATTTCCTGGTATTCTGATCTTGGCTTTTCCTGGTTATTCCGATTTCTGGTTCCCCTGACTTTGGCTTGTTTAAACGGTATTTGAGTATTTCTGGCTTTCCCTTTGACCATCCTCTATCTCTAGCGTATTAGTCTGGTCATTCTAAGGACCGGTTTACGCTCTGTCCTTCTATTTTTCCTTTCTTTTTCTATGTATATGTTTACATAGTTTCTGCGTGTTGGACCACACTAGCAGTCGTGACATTACAACAGGGCCATGGATCCTGCAGAACTATGCAAACATATGATTGCCTGTGAGAGCAGGGTGGAGGATATGGACCACAGGTTAGATCAGTTTGCCCAAGCGTTCCAGACCTTGCTCCAGAGAACTGGTTCTGCCACCTGTGGTAGCACCTGTGGCACACAAACCTCCATCCATAACCCTTTCACCTCCCCCTTGTTTTGGAGGTGATTCTAAGGAATTTAGGTTTTCTAAACCAAATTGAATACCACTTCGAAGCTTCCCCTGGTTCATTCCCTACAGATAGCCAATTTTTGATCTATCTAATGAACCAATTAACGGGTAAGGTTTTAACATGGGCCAATCCCTTATGGGAAAGTGGAAATCCAGTTGCCTGTGATTACAATGTATTACTAACAGCATTTAAATCTACTTTTGAGCCAAAAGGGAGAGAAAAGAACACTACCAGAGCCTTAATGAGAATAAAACAAGGCACCCGCTCTGTAGCTGATTACGCCATAGAGTTCAGGACATTGGCGTCTGAGGTTGACTGGACCAACAGTGGTTTGGTGGCTGCTTTTTCGAAGGTATAGCGGAAAATATACAAGACGAGACCGCAGCCAGAGATCTTCTGGTAAACCTTAATGACTTTATTGCATACATGATAGACATTGATACCAGGCTCAGAGAGAGGGAGAAAAACAAACAGCGTACTAGACGTTCTAACTTATCTATAGCCCCTCGTTTCTCTAACCCAGTGATTGTTCGTCCTGCTCCACCTCCAGAACCTGAAGCCATGCAACTGGGCATTGCTAAACTCACTGAGGCAGAGAGACAACACAGACGCAACAAAGGGTTGTGTTTGGATTGTGGCAAGAGGGGACATCAAAGGGTTTCATGTCCGGTTCGGCCGGAAAACCTGCGCACCTAAGGCACATTCGGGGACCGAACTTAGCTGTGATGTATATGTCCCCTAAATTGACTAAGAACCGTTTCCTTGTAAGAATTACTTTGTCTTGTAAGAAAACCACTGTACAGTGTGAGGCTATGATTGACTCTGGGGCAGCAGAGAATTTTCTAGACAAGGAATTCTCTGCCAAACATCTCCTGCCTTTAAGGCAGATAGATAGACCCATAGCAGTAGAGGCTATCGATGGGAGGGAGACCTCTTACCCAGCCTCTCATCACGCACAAAACCCTGCCGATCACTGTCTCAGTGGGTATCTTACATTCTGAAGAAATGGTTTTCCAAATTATATCTTCACCTACATTTCCGATAATACTCTGTTGCCCTTGGCTCCAGAAACACAATCCACGTTTAGATTGGGTTGAAGGAGAAATTGTGAGTTGGGGTGAGAGATGCAGAGGTCTTTGTTTAAAACAGGTGCCACAACGAATTGGTACCATCAATGTACCTATAGCGCCTCCCTTAACCATAGAAATCCCACCGCAGTATTTGGACTTAAAGGAGGTATTCAACAAGGTTCAGTCGGAGGTATTACCACCACATAGACCCTGCGACTGTGCCATAAACTTGTTACCAGGCACTATGCCTCCTAAAGGAGGAGTATATGCACTATCTCCCCAAGAAAATCTTTGTTTAGAAGAATACATAAAGGATGCTCTCAGAAAGGGTCACATACGTAGATCCTCTTCACCTGCTGGGGCTGGGTTCTTCTTCGTTTCTAAAAAAGGAGACCTACACCCTTGTATAGACTATAGAAATGCCAGTTTGACCAGACTGAGATACAGTTTCTTGGTTATGTTATATCCCCGTCTGGTTTCAAAATGGACCCACGCAAATTGGAAGCAGTCTTACAATGGCCGTTACCCAAAGGCCTTAAAGCTACACAACGCTTTATAGGTTTTGCAAATTATTACCGCAAGTTCATTAAGGGTTTTTCCTCAGTAATCACTCCTATTACCAACCTAACCAAAAAAGGTGAAAATTGCAATTCATGGCCCAAGGAAGCAAAGGAGGCATTTGAGCAATTAAAATCTTTATTTTCCTCAGCACCTGTCCTGACACATCCCGATCCGACCAAACGATTTATTCTAGAGGTAGATGCGTCAGAAACAGGAGTAGGAGCCATTCTGTCTCAAAGAGAAAGTCCTGATGCGCCTTTACATCCCTGTGGGTTTTTCTCTCGAAAACTAACCCCAGCAGAGAGAAATTATGACATTGGGAATAGGGAATTATTGGCCATTGCACTCGCCCTTAAAGAATGGAGGCATCTCTTAGAAGGTTCCAAAGAGCCACTTCTTTACTGATCATAAGAATTTGGCTTATATTGGGGACGCTAAGAGATTGTCCTCTCGTCAGTCTAGATGGTCATTGTTCCTCTCCCGATTCAATTTTGTAATTACGTATAGGCCCGGGACCAAGAACACCAAGGCAGATGCGCTGTCTAGGCAGTTTGAGACAGATGAGGTTCCTGAACAAGAGGTATTCCCTATCATACCTCTAGAATGCCTTATAGCTACTACAGTTTCTGAAGTGTCTTCTCCACTCTTCTGTGCCATAATAGCAGATCAAAATCAGGCACCCGTGGAGAGCCCTCCGGATAAACTGTACGTTTCACCACCATTAAGGGAAAAGGTACTTGGATTATTCCATGATAATTTGACAGCAGGTCATCCTGGAGTCCATAAAACTCTCTTTGCTATTTCCAAGAGGTTCTGGTGGCCTACACTTAGGAACGACATCAAATATTATGTAGGGGCATGTCAAATATGTGCCGTTTCTAAAGCATCCCACAAATCTCCTCCTGGGTTGTTACAACCACTTCCAATACCTAATGCTCCATGGACCCATTTAGACATGGATTTCATGGTGGATCTGCCCAGTTCAAACGGATATAACACAATCCTTCTGGTCATAGATAGATTCTCATAAATGGCACATTTTGTACCTCTTAAAAAATTACCATCTGCTCAATATCTTGTACAAATATTTTTGAAAGAGATCTTTCGGTTACATGGAGTGCCTAAAAACATAGTATCCGACAGAGGTACCCAATTTATTTCTAGGTTCTGGCGTGCCTTTTGTAAGCAATTGGGTATAGAACTTTCATTTTCCTCAGCGTATCACCCTCAGACTAATGGCGCAGCAGAGAGGGCCAATCAGTCTTTAGAATCTTATTTATGTTGTTTTATCGATGCCAATCAGTCTAACTGGTACGAACTCTTACCCATGAGTTTGCCAGAAATAATGCGACTCATGAATCCTCTAATCATAGTCCATTTTTTGTAAATCGGGGTTATCACCCCACTTACCTTCTCAATTTTCAGACACTGATATTCCTGCCTTGAACGCCTGTTTGAATTCTATTCATGACACTTGGGATTCTGTTCATACAGCACTACAGAAGGCATCAAAACATGGTAAGATCCAAGCTGACAAGAGACAGGGAGCCAATCCTGTCTATCAAGCAGGAGACAAGGTGTGGTTATCCACACGTCATATCAAACTTAAGGTTCCTTCCATGAAATTTGCCCCTCGTAGGTCCTTTTCGGGTCCTCCGTCGTATTAACCCTGTGACTTATTCCTTGGCACTTCCTGCGCACATGAGAATTGCCAATCGATACACTAAAGTGGCTGCCCCTCCTCCACCCTTGGTAGTGGGTGATCAGGAGGAGTATGAAGTTTGATCCATATTGGATGGCGCATCCGTGCCCGACCGGCACGACCTCGCCGATATAGCGAGCTTACCTGCTCGCCAGCGAGCTGGGAACCGTTCCTCCGCGTCTTCTGGGCAGTGCGCCCAAATCAAAGATGGCGCTGACCACGTGGTCGTGCACATCACAAGCTCCGCCCCTCAAAATTATACGAACATGCGCATGACGTCACAACGTCAACGCACGCGCACGTTCTGGGGTCAGAGGTCACCCTTGCCCTGTCATGGTTTCCTGTTCCTGGTTCCCGAGAGTGCGTTTATCCTTGTGATTCTTATTTCCTGGTATTCTGATCTTGGCTTTTCCTGGTTATTACGATTTCTGGTTCCCCTGACTTTGGCTTGTTTAAACGGTATTTGAGTATTTATGGCTTCCCTGACCTCGGCTTTCCCTTTGACCATTCTCTATCTCTAGCGTATTAGTCCGGCCATTCTAAGGACCGGTTTACGCTCTGTCCTTTTATTTTTCCTTCCTTTTTCTATGAATATGTTTACATAGTTTCTGCGTGTTGGACCACACTAGCAGTCGTGACACCAGGAAAGCGGTCCTGCGAGCACAGAGGTGCTGGTGCCGAGGCTACTCTTACCACAATAATTCTGACCCCTGAGAGGGCACATCAGCATAGCTGTATTTGATGCCTACTTGGGTGGTGAGTGGAGTGGACGGCTGCCGCCCCGCCGCTATCCTGCCTTGTGGTTTCCCTTTGGAACTCTGATGCCACGTGGTACAGGCCTCGTTCCCTGGGGTGATCCCAGTCCTCGCCTTGGGGGTCCTCTAGCACTGTTGGCATACCGAACGGTCTTGGGCACATCGGTATAAGAGGGCGGACACCTCAGGTCGAGCTATGCACAGTAGAGACAAGGTAGAACTTACCTGCAAACTGGACAAGATTTTCTCAGACTCCTGGGATAAACTGAATCGACACCTGTGTGTGCTAGTCAGACAGGAGGGGAGTGCACAACCTCCTCGGCCTAAACGAGAGGTGTCCGCATGATTGTCCCATAAGACCTAATATAAAACAGTGCAGCATTCGTGAAAACATGTTATTAGCCTGATCCTTTATGAATATCTGCATTGCCATATTGCTTTGTGTTAACATGTCGATTGAACATATGTGTATACCTCAATGCACTACAAAAACAAAGAATAAAAAATAAATAAATAACTGTCAGTCTCACCTCAAGGAGGTGAGGAATCAGCCCAGAACTATAGGGGAGGATCTGGTTAATTATCTCAAGGCAGCTGGGACCATAGTCACCAAGAAAACAATTGGTAACACACTACGCCGTGAAGGACTGAAATTCTGCGGTCTCCCTGCTCAAGAAAGCACATGTACAGGCCCGTCAGAAGTTTGCCAATGAACATCTGAATGATTTAGAGGAGAACTGGGTGAAAGTGTTGTGGTCACATAAGACCAAAATCAAGCTCTTTGGCATCAACTCAACTCGCTGTGTTTGGAGGAGAAGGAATGCTGCCTATGACCCAAGAACACCATCCCCATCGTCAAACATGGAGGTGAAAACATTATCCTTTGGGGGTGTTTTTCTGCTAAGGGGACAGAACAACTGCACCGCATTGACGGGGCCATGCACTGTCAAATCTTGGGTGAGAATCGCCTTCCCTCAGCCTGGGCATTGTAAACGGGTCGTGGAAGGTTATTCCAGCATGACAATGACCCAAAACACACAGCCAAGGAAACAAAGGAGTGGCTCAAGAAGAAGCACATTAAGGTCCTGGAGTGGCCTAGCCAGTCTCCAGACCTTAATCCCATAGAAAATCTGTGGAGGGAGCTGAAGGTTTGAGTTCCCAAATGTCAGCCTCGAAACCTTTATGACTTGGAGAGGATCTGCAAAAAGGAGTGGGACAAAATCCCTCCTTAGCTGTGTGCAAACCCAGTGGCCAACTACAAGAAACATCTGACCTCTGCGATTTCCAACACATATTTTTTGCCACCGAGTACTAAGTCAAAGGGGTCAAATACTTATTTCACTCATTTTTTGGGGGGAAATCTTTTTATTGTGGAGTATGCATAGTCATCAACAGTAACAAAGCAAGACACGCAGGTCTATGTATGTAAGTAAAACAATACAAACCGAGCATAAGTATGTTATAACTAAGTTGTCACTATCAAATTGGTCGTGATAGAGATTATACTTGCCAATAGGGTGACTAAACCCATCCGCCCGTTAGTTTAAATTCAGCAGGGTATCATAAATGAACATGGGAGACCTTATATACCACGCTACACCTCTTGTTATATACATGATTGGTGAGTAATGCACATAGAAAGAGTATTTCCGGAGTTACTTCTGCCGTGCATATCCCGGTATATGAAGTTGTTGTAGAAAACGCCTATATATATTTCCCATCTCTCAGATGAGGCATTTGTTATGAAGCTGGTTAGCATTAATGATACCTGTGCTTAACTGTAAGTACGGTGAGTGTAGCAACATGCTACGTGATAGGTACCTCGATCACTAGGCCAACGTGGAAGTCGGAACCAGCAACCAACCTGGGCCCCGCATCTGACCCATCGATTTTCCCCTCGACCGTAACTCTAGGCTGAGCTCACGCGGCGACCATGTGCTCCTATATCTGAGGAAAGGCGCTTGGGACTTCCCCCTCCTGTGTATCATGAGAGAAGTGTCCAAGTGCTGTGTGATGAGGGTGCTACTACTGTGCAAGGGTGAAAGGAGTCACGAGTCTATCCTGTCTGGGGTGTTCGTCATGTAACTCGTCAGATGTCCATCTCACCTGATATCCAAGTGCCTCCCATCTACAATGAAATGTCCTTAATCATGTTACATCAGCTGGTGTAATGTCCAGGTCTCCTTGTGACTCTCCCGGTGTAAGGTGTTGTCCCACAGAGAACCCTCAGCAGACTCCTCTGGCTCCGGGCTCGGGCCCCCGCCCGCCGATGAGAGGGATAAGGGAGTGGCGAAGGGCAAGGGATAAAGGGTAAGCAAGTTACACAGGATATGATCCCTCCAGCCTAGCTCGCGTCGGGCCGTGCCCCCACCGCGGGCCCCGGAACACCCCCATCACTGCGGTAGCGAGAGATGTACAAGAACCACGGCGTCCACATCTCTGCGTGCCTGGTTTCCCGGCCTGTTAAAGTAGCGTATGCTGCTTCTGCTCCTTGGATCTCTTCCACCCTGTGGATCCATTCTTTTTTGGTAGGTATGTCGGTTTGTTTCCAATGAGCTGGGATGTTGGCTTTGGCGGCATTAAGCAAGTGCCGCAGTATCGATTTCTTATACGAAGATATGGATAATGATGTGATGTGTAGTAATGCCAATTCCGCGTTCCAGTCCGGGAGGTCCCCCAGGATGAGTATGATTGTTTCCTTGATCATTTCCCAGTATGGGGTTATGGCTCCGCATTCCCACCAGATGTGTAGTACGGTTCCGCGTGTCTCCTGACACCTCCAACACATCGATGATATTGAGGGAAATATACGATGTAATAAGGTAGGTGTCCTATACCAGAGAGAGATTAGTTTATAGTTCATTTCTTGATAGTAAGAACTCATCGAACTCTTATGCTGCCAGAGCAACGCCGTATCCCATTGCTGTGTCGAAAGGGATTTTCCCAGTTGTTCTTCCCATTGCCGTTTGAACGTTGTAACCGCTGTCGTTTGACCGGTCAGGAGGTGTTGATACAGTGCGGAAATGGCGTGTTCTATAGCTGTGCCACGGTCGCAGAGGGTCTCAAACCACGTGAGATCTCTATGCAGCTTGTCCTTGTGCGGTAGTGATTAGTAGAAGTGTTTCAGTTGGAAATATCGGAATCGGAGGAGATGCGTCTGAGGACTGTCACCTAGCATCGAGGGAAGAGTCCGTAGCCTTCCGCCCTCAAGAGCCTTGTGTATAGGTATATACGTCCCACCCTCTTGCAAAGGCCAGGCTCCCGGGGGAAGTCCCCCACCTATCGCCTCATTATGTGTAAGTGGTATCATCGGGCTGGGAGAGGGAGAGATGTGGTCCTGCTGTCTTACAGACATCCAGCCTAGCAGGGTCTGTAGCGTCAACCCTTCCCTGGTATGATGAGTTGGTGATCGCCTCGAGTGACCCCAATTATTTCACTCATTGACATGCAAATCAATTTATAGCTTTTTTGACATGCGTTTTTTTTTATTTTCTGGTTTTTTTTTTTTCTGTCTCTCACTGTTAAAATACACCTACCATTAAAATTATAGACTGATCATTTCTTTGTCAGTGGACAAACGTTCAAAATCAGCAGGGGATCAAATACTTTTTCCCTCATTGTATTGTTTAATTTTCCAAAAAGTTACCATGATTCATGACCATTCTAAAAAAAAATCTAATCACAATAAGTCTGTATTTTAAAGTCAATCGTTTCCCCCATGAGCTCATGTATGTCCCCATCTCTTGTTTCTAAGTTTCTCACCTGCACACCAGCATATGCTTCAACAGAAAACTTGTCTGTACAGATGGGTGCTACAGGTACATATGCTGCAAGGTACTGCTGCTGATTCAAAATCAGTGGAAGGGAATACATGCCACTAAGTGAAGGGCTGATAACCACTGCAGGAACCATGTTTAGTGCCTCCAGAACCTCCTGCAGGAATCCAGGTGGAGCCGGCTCTCCCAAGGGACTTGGGGCAACAGCCTCTTTGGACTTTCCCAGGCCTTAGGAAGAATGTTAATGATAAGATTTCTGAGTGATTATTATTGTAAAGAAGAAAAGAATAGAGATGAAAAAGAAAAAAAAAAAACAGACAATCGTAAGAGATAGTGAAAGAGGTCTAACCTGGCAAGTCTATGGCCACAGCACGATGTCCCGCAGTTGCTAGTTTTTCCAGAGTGTGCAGATTTTGCCACTCCAGAGATGAGAATCTAATGCCATGAAGTAAAAGAACGGGATGGCGAGGAGGGCCTTGCACTGCTGCGACCTCCCGGAAGAATAGTGTCTGTCCTGAAATCTTCACGGAACCTTCTTTGATTGGAACCTCAGTCATGTCTGCAGCTACGATGATTCTAGGAAACTAAAACAAAAAAAATTAATAAATAAACAAACCACAAAACGCATCTTCAAACAACACATTTTTTTTTTTTGTAAATCTGTTTTTTGTTACATGGGTAGTGGATTGTCTATTGACCCAAATCCATCTTAAATACATTTAATACATTATATTAAATACATTTAATACATTATATTTCAAAGTGACACATTATGTTTTCAATGTAAAATTTTGAGGTATGCTCACCTTACCTCCAATCCAGAGCCACCATTTCCTCAGCTTTGTGGGTTGTATTCTCCTGTAATTCCCACCCCTAGTCCACCCTTCACCCTGCCTGCAATGTTCTTCCAATTGTCCTGCTTAGGGACACTACGCAAAGCAGGGCAAACCTCCTCTATAACACAGATATGCTGGCTTCATTTGTCAGCAGGTCGGCGTCTGTACATTATTACACTGCCTTCCCAATGCTAGCAGTGTTGGATGAGATATGCATGCGTGGCCAAATACCACACACCTAACTGCTGTGAGTTTCTCTGTGTTCTGGATGCTGAAGCACCTCTAGTGGCTATCAGGAAGGACAACAGAAGGACTACCTGTGGGAGGTGTCTTCTGGTCTCCATTGTCAGTCAATTCTTGACAGATCGGAAAAAGACTTTTTAAAAAATAAAAAAATTTTCTCCAAATCTATACATTTGCTAGTAAAAGTATACAAAGAATTGTATGCTCTTTAAAAAAGCATTAGTTTTCGCCCAACACGCCTGTCACCGAACTACCAAGGCTGGGTCCAGCAGCTTCGACGCAGCCAGTTCCGGCTGCAGAGAAACAAACCTCTCTGCTCCCAGCAAAGCCCACCTGACTTAAGCGACTGCACATCAGATCACAGGAAGAGCAGGGCCGAGGTGCTGCGACATTGAGCTTTGCTCACTGCTACAACTCAAGATCTACTGGACTGTCCGGCACTCGGGCTCGGTCAGAGAAGCCGCTTTGATGCTGATTACAATAGCATACTCTGTACCTCGCCATCTCTTGGAATTGCCTGATAAGCTGGCACACCCTGCATAGTGCCCTGTTGCCAGCTTATAGATTCCCCTCTGCTTCCTGCCTAATCCAATTACATGTTTTTTGTACACTTTATAGAGAGCTACACAGGACTACCATACCTACCCAGCGGTAACTAGTTGCTGCTATTTCTCACAGCTCTGCTCTAAGATTCTTACAGTCAGTTTTTTCTTATTTTTACCAAGCGTAGCATGTTTCCAACTAATAGCTTGGATCAGACCTACTACATTAACAGCATGTGCAGTCAGGTACAATGACAGGTGTGCTCAGCTCAGTATTTAATGCTATGTCCTAGTCTGACCTAGCCTGACCTTTGCCCCTACTATGAATAAAATATGATGCCAATATGTGAGCCAAGCTAATGTTACTGTTACCCTTTGTTATGTATAGTTTGTCGTACTCACACACCCATGGTCTAGTAGCTGACATGTTAGTTTCTCCTATGTTTATCCTACAATATATTATAAAATGTGCAATGTTATTAGATGCCATACAACTGTCCCTAACTGTTGATTACTCAGCTGGTAATAGCTGTTGTGGCATTTCTTGTCTCTTTGTATTTTACATGCACGACAAAATAAAGAATAAAATTTTTAAAAAAGCATTAGTTTTACCTGGCATGGCAGGTTCCCTTTAAATACATGCTTGTGTTTTTATCAGGGATGAAATATGGAACATGTCAGCCCATACACAAACTCATCAATACTATGTGTATGGACAGGCCTGATTAGCTACATTGCTGTACATCTACCGGTCATCATAAACCCGTCTCCTATATTGTTAGCTTATTTGAGAAAGGTTCTTTGCCTCTTGTCTTGTGTCTCTTAACATAATGTTTTCTCTTACAATTGCTTGTTGTTTAACAATAACTTCAGGGAGACACACCCACTTTATGGGCAATGCCATTAAAACCCACCCCCTACCTCTTCTGATCCAGATCTGATACAGCAGGCAGGTCTATTTTATTATTTATTTATATAGTGCCATCAGATTCCGAAGCGCACATAACAAATGTGAAAAAAAAAAGTAATATTTTAACTCTTGTCTATGAGATGATCATAACTCTAAACCTCATTAGAAAATGCTTACACAGTTGTGCAGTTGATAATAAAGACTATATCTGAACTTTGCATTATTATGCCCTGAGCAGATATACCTTATTAATCTTGACCTCAGCCTGGCACAAGGGAGGCCGAAAACATGGCTGAGCATCATGGGAGATGTAGTCCTTCAACAGCTGCAGAACTACTTTTTAGCCATCCCTGGCTAAACGTATCATTAGTGAGCAAAACTATGCCAGCAGTGCTGGTTGTCTGTATGTGTACCCAGAGGGTGTGCTTCTGCATGCATGCAGTATTAGTAAGGATTATTAATTAACATTAGTTAGCAGGTAAGTACCTACCGTGCTGTAAGAAGCAATGGCCACTGGAGTCCAAAGTGCAGACAGGAAGCAACATAATATCCACTACAACCACTGCACAGTGCTGCCATCCTCTGTCACACAATCAATACTACAGGTCGGTGTTCTATAATGTGCACAGTGATCAAACATTTCATAATGAATACTGCCACCTAGTGTCATGTAAGAGGTAATGCTACACAGTCTCCTAGAGTTTGAATATTTACAGTCCTATATTGTATTATTGGACCATCTGCGTTCTGCAATGCCGTCTTTTGGTTTAAATCAGGCCCGATCAAGTCCCTAAAATTTCCCACTTCTTCTTCTAACCCCAATTCCACGTTCATAGAGGAGTAGAAATCTCTAAACCCCCACACACCTACCTTCCCATCCAGGGCCGGACTGGGAAAAAAATTAGGCCCGGGCATTTTTCAATCAGAGCGGCCCCCCAAGGATGGGGCGGGGCTAGAGACAAACACGCCCCTCTCAAAGTGAGCATGTTGGTTCAATGCGCAGAGCCCTGCTAAAGAGCTCTAGCATTAGAAAAAGGCCCTGTATTTGTTCTGCGCAGCGCAAGCAAATTTAATAACATGCTTGCGCTGTGTTTGCTTTTAAATTGTCTCTGGTGTCTCCACAAGTGGGATACCAGTAGACAAAAGGGCCAGTAAAGCGTATGGTGCATGTGTTTGGAGCCTGCTTGTGGGATTGCGTGTGTGTAGAGTGTGGTGTGGTTTTGTGTAAATAGGTCAATTTAATTTGTGTTTGTGGTGTAATATGTGTGGCTAGGGGCAGTTTGTGTGTAAGAGATCTAGTGTGTAAAGGACTCAGAGTGTGTATAGGAGATTGTATGTGAGTGTGTGTGTGTAGAGGATTAAGAGTGCATATAGGGTAAGGGATCTAGCGTGTATCTGGAGCGTAATGTGTGTAGTGGTGCCATGTGAGGGGTGCTGTAGTGTGTATATATATATTTATATCTGGACGTATTGTATGTGTGAGGGGCGCAGTGTGTGTGTGTGTGAAGGGTGCAGTGTGTGTGTGTGTGTGTGTAAGAGGGGTGCTGTGTGTGAAGGTGTTTTTATCTGCAGTCACATTCTAGGTTTCTAAATTTTTTTGTCTGTTAACTCACTGAGGGTTATTTTATTTATTATATATATATGTGTGTGTGTGTGTGCTGTATATGTGTGTGGGTGCTGTGTGAGTGAGGGTGCTGTCTCTCTGAGAGAGCAGTGTCTGTCTGAGTGAGCAGTGTGTGTCTGAGGGTGCTGTGTGTGTGTGTTTCTGAGGGTGCTGTGTGTGTCTGGGTGCTGTGTGTGTCTGAGGGTGATGTGTGTGTCTGAGTGCTGTGTGTGTCTGAGTGCTGTGTGTGTCTGGGGGTGCTGTGTGTGTCTGGGGGGTGCTGTGTGTGTGTCTGGGTGCTGTGTGTGTCTGGGTGCTGTGTGTGGGTGCGTGTGTGTCTGAGGGTGCTGCGTGTGTGTCTGAGGGTGCTGTGTGCGTCTGGGTGCTGTGTGTGTGTCTGGGTGCTGTGAGTGTATCTGGGTGCTGTGTGTGTCTGAGGGTGCTGTGTGTGTCTGGGTGCTGTGTGTGTCTGAGGTGCTGTGTGTGTCTGAGTGCTGTGTGTGTCTGGGGCTGTGTGTGTCTGTGTGTGTGTGTCTGGCTGTGTGTGTCTGAGGGTGCTGTGTGTGTCTGAGGGTGCTGTGTGTGTCTGGGGTGCTGTGTGTGTCTGGTGCTGTGTGTGTGCTGTGTGTGTGGGTGCTGTGTGTGTTTGGGTGCTGCGTGTGTATCTGGGTGTGTGTGTCTGAGTGCTGTGTGTGTCTGGGGGTGCTGTGTGTGTCTGGGTGCTGCGTGTGTTTGGGTGCTGCGTGTGTGTCTGAGTGCTGCGTGTGTGTCTGAGTGCTGTGTGTGTCTGAGTGTGTGTGTGTGTGAGTGTTTATTTAAATTTAAATATATATTTTTTTATATATATAATAAAAAAAAGTTATATCCCCTTCTCCCTTTTTACCTTGGGAGGGGGTGGGGAGCTGGGTATCCATGGAGGAGGGGGCCATGCTGCATTCCCTGGTGGTCCAGTGGTGAGAGTGAACTCTAACCTGCAGGCTAGAGTTCACTCTCGCGAGATCTGAGCGTTGCCGTGGTAACCGCGGCAACGCTCAGAATCCTGCGAGAGGACCCGGCGGAGCTGCTGGCTAGAGCTCCACCGGTCCTCTCTCCTGCCTCCCTCCCTCACCTGCTGGCGGCCGCATCTCCCTCCCTCTGGGCATCTCCCTCCCACCGGCCCATGGAGGCACTATGCAGGGCCGGCGCTCGGGTAGCGCTGGCCCTGCAGGGGCCGGCCGGGGAGATGCCCTGCAGGGGCCGGCCGGGGAGATCCCCTGCCGGCCTCGGCCCCACGGCCATCGCGGCCCACCGGGCATTTGCCCGGTATGCCCGATGGCCAGTCCGGGCCTGTTCCCATCCCTTACTTGATAGGGGGGTGACAGGGCCGGACTGGGACAAAAATGTACCCCAGGCACTTAAAGACAGAGTAGTCCACTAGGAGGGACGGGCCAGAAAGGAGGCGTGTTTTGTCATCACCATTGACAAACACACCCTCCTCCTACCCTGCCAAATGAGTATGTTAGTGTGATGCCCCTCCAGAGCATCCAGTGCTTTTAGGTGAAGTAAATGTCCTGTTTGTTAGGGAGCATTGTGCAATGTAATAATGCGCTGCCTTTGCTGGTGACTTGTCTCTGGTGTTCTCAATAGTGGGATACCAGAGAAAAAAAGTGGAGCAGGGATGTCAAAGTGTGTTGTGCATGTGTGGAGATGCTCCCTGTGGTGTTGTATGTGTTTGAAGGCTGCTTTTGAGATTGCATGTTTATAGGTCAGAATATTTGTGTTCTTTTGTGTATGTAAAGGTGTCTGTGCGTACTATGTGTGGCTAGTGTTTAGTGTGTGTGAGAGCCAGCCGACTCCCAGTCCCATCAGCCCCAGCCACCCTCCTGCAAAGAAAAGGTAAGAAACAGGAGGGTGGCTGGAAAATGAGCTCTGTGTGTGTGTCTGTATGAATGCATGCATGCATGTATGTATGTTATTATGTATGAATGTATGTCTGTATGTCATTATGTATGTATGTATGAATGTATGTCTGTTTGTATGTATGTTATTATGTATGTCTGTATGTATGTATATATGTATGCAAGTATCAATGTATGTCATTATGTATGTCTGTATGCATGTATGTCTGTCAGTATGTCTGTATATATGTCTGTATGTCTGTTAGCAGGGCTGCCATCAGGGGGTGACAACCATAATGGGGGTGCAGTTGCAACGGGGCCCGCACGCTGATGGGGCCCATCGGGTGGCCCAAGCATTTAGGCCCAAGCATTTAGGGCCACCCGATGGGCCCTATATCTTCAGGGGCCCGGTCAGCGCTGTAGCCATGTAATAGCGCGACCGGGCCCCTTTAATAAAAAAATTGCAGCCGCAACGCAAGTGCTGCTGGGAGGAAGTGGTCACTTCCTCCCAGCTCACTCCGCGTGGGAGGAGAGCCAGCCAGGCAGTGAAGAGGGAGAGCCGTGCCGACTCCCATCAGCCCCAGCCACCCTCCTGCAAAGAAAAGGTAAGAAACAGGAGGGTTGCTGGAAAATTAGCTGTGTGTGTGTATAAATGTATGTCTGCATGTTTGTCTGTCATTATGAATGTATGTATGTCAGTATGTATGTCTGTCTGTCAGTATGAATGTTTGTCTGTGTGTGTGTGTGTGTAAGTATGCATGTATGTCAGTATGCATAAATGTATGTATGAATGTATGTCTGTATGTATGTATATATGTATGTCAGTATGAATGTATGTCAGTGTGTATGGATGTCAGGGTATGTATGTCAGTATGCGTGTCATTATGAATGTATGTCTGTGTGTATGTGTGTATTGTGAGAGAAAATGTGGATTGGTAGTTGATGGCATATACATTAGGCCTTATTTACTGAACAGCAGCCTGAGGTTTGAGAGTTAAATGTCCCAGGGAGAGATGTTAGGTTTGCAAGATGCATTACTGGTACTCTGCAATCCACGGTATGGGTCTCTGGGGCGGAGCACTTGGAGAGCAGGGTGGGCCAGTGCTCCAATAGCACCAGCTGCTACATAACAGCCGGACCAGAACTTTTATTTTGTTTAACAGTTTCACTTATGTCTAATTGCACCTCATCTGTATCTGATCAATTAGCTAGCAGGCTAAAAGAAGGGATCAGCATGCTGCAGAGGAGGAAAAGCCAGAGGAATGGTGTCTTGCAGTTATACTTTTTGTAAATTGGCAAGTGGGAAAGCCACCCAATTCCAGATAGGGATTTGTTGTGTATAGTAAGTGCTCAAGCAAGAGCAAGGAATTTTGTTTTGTTTATTTTTCATTTTGAAACACCTGTATATATATTTCACCAAATAAATCTGAAAAACTGAGCTGGATGTGTCCTGGACTTTCATTACCCTAGAAGGCTGTGGTTAGAAGATCTGTGACAAAATCCTGCCTGGAAAAGAGGTGGTGTGTTACAGTATGTATGTATGCCAGTATCAATGTATGTCAGTGTGAATGTATGTCATTATGAATGTGTGTATGTCTGTCTGTATGTCATTATGAATGTATGTATGTTAGTATGTGTCTGTCACTATGTATGCCTATGTGTCTGTATATGTGTGAATGTCTCAGTATGTATGCCTATATGTGGGTATGTATCTGTGTCCTTTTTGTATCAGTGTGTGTATTCCTGTGGATGGGATTTGGAGGCGGTCCCCTTGGGCGGGCTTGGAGGCTGGCCCCCGGGGGCCCAGACCCTGAGCTGAGTTAGGGGCCCAAAAATTTCTGGTGATGGCCCTGCCCCCAGCACTGAAACTTCAAGGCACGCTGCAAGCACCATAACCACTTTAATGTGTAATAGTGCTTATGGTGCCAGGTGTGCTTGGTACTCTCCAGTATAAGCAGATATTTGCAAATGGTTTGACAACTTACCTGGAAGCTCCCTGCATTGAGCTAAGCCCGGCGGTGCAATCAGCTGGTACTCTCAGCCAATGAGCTGGCCCTGCATTGCAGGGTTTAGCTCAGGAGAGCTAACGGAAGCTCTGTGAAGGAGATGCCGGTGTCAATGGAGGAAGTGAACAGCACCCCTTGAACGCCAGGCAAGTTGTCAAACTATTAGCAAACGGTTTAACTACTTACATTTTAGTAGTAATTCTTTCAGTATGAAGAGATCAGGCAGATGGAATGGTTGGCCCTGGCTATTTGGTTGCCATGATCCCACTCAGCCACACTGCAGGGGAAACTGGACATGGGAGATGCAGTATTAAATGTGTGGGAGAGACATAGAGGGAGTTTGGGAGAGAAAGTTGGGAAAATGAAAGCGAGACGGAGAGACTAGCTTACTGTCACACCTGATTGCTATTAATGATACATCACACAAATTGTGTTAGAGACAAAATCCAGGTAATTAACTATTCCAGTAATCATGGTGAACCGGCAAGAAATTTCAAAATACAGTTGGAGATTTTTTTCAGTTTAGATATTTTGACCACTGTTGCTGGGCAACCTCATCTTTAAATGTGTTAACTAAGGTAACTATGGAGACAATTCAGAAAATTCAATTTTTTTCTTTAATTTTGTTAAGTGGTTTTCAGTTCACTAAAATTATGTTTCATTCAAAGTTTGCATGTGGCAATTTGATTCCAAATTGTAGAAAATTTGAAAAATGGCAAAATATCCAAGCTGTTATAGTTGAGTTGGAGAATTTTTCTAATTCAGCAATTTTTGCCATTCCTCACCTTATCTATGGCTATCCACTTAGCACCGTACCTACAACTATCCACTTATTATTATTATTATTATTTATAAAGCGGCAACAGATACCGCAGCACTGTACAATGGGTGGACTAACAGACACGTATTTGTAACCAGATGAGTTGGACACACAGGAACAGAGGGGTTGAAGGCCCTGCTCAATGAGTTTACATGCTAGAGGGAGTGACACAAAGGGTAAGGGTAGGGTAGTAAAGTAGGTTGTTAGGATAGTATTTGTTATATAACAAAGAGGTTAGGCAAACCCTGTGATGATTTTGTCAGGTCATCTGTCTGTCATGAATGGGTTAATTGCATATAAGTTTGTCAGACAATTGTAGGTGCTATCACCAGGCAATAAGGCAAAACCAGGGACTGTGTAGCTTTTCTCTCAGAATGTACAAGCAATTGCCATAAAGTATTGCACAATAAACAAAATGAAAGTTCGTTGTAATTTAATGTCAGTTCATAGGAACATTAAGTCATGAGTCTTTTATATAGGCACTACAAATATGGTGTATATTATTAGTGTAATTTATTTTATAAATCATGGCCTCTGCATTTAATCTACTTCTTGAGGTTGCTTTCACTCCACAAACTGTGGTAAGGTTATACAGATCTGACATTACAGGACTATGCCCTGATATTGCAGCTTGTTTTCATTTAAAGCCATAGGACTGGAAAGGACTGCGGTTAGACTGGCTGGCTGGCTCCTGGTGTTGGGAGCAGTAGTCCAACCCACAGCACAGAGGAAGCAGTTAACTTAGATTGGCTGACACAGACTGATTGGAGTTGTATTCCAGAAAGAGCTGCTATGGCAGTGTCCATATCCCTGAACTGCTGTTACTGTCAAGCCCTGACAGGACAGGAATGAGAATAGCTGAAGGGGAGGGAGAGAGATGCAGGGCAGGAGGAGGAGACACTGGGGCAGCTGGGCGGATATAATGACTGCAGCCACACAAATAGAAAGACAGCCAATCCTAGTCACAGCTACTGCTGCTCATACACTCACACATACACACACACTGCCTGCCGGGGATCAGTTCCATAAAGATGGGCCTGGGTCGACATAAACTCATTGTATTGGTCTTGGGTCTGTCCATTACAGTCCTGCTCTATCTTCTTCTCCCCTCTGGGCAGCCTGAAGAAGGGGACCGCAAGGCGGAGGTCCCCCGGTCAGACCCTCAAAGCAACATGAACATCACAGTGCGCACTGCTACCTTGACAGGGGACTGGCCCACGTTTTACAGAGAGGCAATACCCCGCAATGCACTGGAAGGGGCAGAGAGGTGAGAGGTGGCAGGAGGAAGCAGGGTGCATGAGATGGAGGTAATAGAGTGTGCAGGAGGGGGAGAATATACAGGAAGGAGGGTATAATGGACAGGTGTAAGGGGGGATGTTAGGTAGAGGAATATAATGTGGGGAATGAAGATAGAATGTTCAGGTATAAGGGATGGAATGTTTAGAGGTAGAATTAACAGACATATGGGGGAATAAATAGAATGTATGTGAGGGGATGTACAAAATGTGCAGTGATAATGTATAAAATCACCCTTTATATGCATAGGGGTAGTATTAAAGGCCTTTCTGCAGAATAGGTCGTTTGTATGGGAATGGGATGGATATGTACAGTGTGTAGGAGTATGTATAGGAATAGAAGGAGAATTCACAGGCCTATGCAGTGAATAGGCAGAATGTAAGTGATTGAGGGGAAGAATAATGGATAACAAATTTTAAGTTCTACTGAGCAGGACCTTCTTCATCTCTGTTATCAAGCAGTAATTATGCATCAATTGCATATTATTAAATGTCGCCATTGTATATTCAGGGCACAACATTTTCACTTACTAGCCACTGGCAAGAGAAAATTCAGTCCTGGCGAGTAAAAATTTACCTTGATGAGTGTGCCATGGAGCCGCCAGGCAGTGGCAAATATCTTTTATACCTGCCTAGTAGAGTAGGGCTTAAAACTTTCAAGCCTGGTAGAATTGTATATAATTGCAGAAAATGTTGGCAGTGTGGATAATTATTTATTTGTATAGGAGGGAGTGTTCCATTATAAGGATTAGAGAAATACAAAGGTCTATGAGAAGAATAGGTAGACTGTTCGTAAGGGAGACTGTACAAGTAGAATGAATAAAAGGAATAGGAAAACGTCATTTATTTAGTTATAAAACATTTTACCAGGAAGGATACATTGAGATTTCTCCCATTTTCAAGTATGTCCTGGGTCCACAAACACTGTATTGTTACAATAGGGCACAATGTAATATTACAAAAAATAATACAATATATATACATACACATATATAAATGTAACATATAACAGGTAATAAATATAGTCGACCATGACAGGTGCATTCTGTATTGATATATTTTGCCATAGATCTCTTTTTTTAGATTTGTGGTTATTATATGAGAATGTATGGGAAAAGTGATAGTGTACAGGTGTTTGGCAGAATATGTAGAATGTACAAGGACAGAATGTATAGGAAGGAGTATGCAGTGTGTAGGACTAGAGGGAGAATCAGAGTTCTATAGGGAGAATATGTAGGATGCACTGCCGGAACTAACACGGTCGCAGGGGCCCGCCACTACAGGTGTAACCGTCGGGGCCGTGCGTTCAAGGGGCCCATCAGGTGGCCAATGCTGTTTGGGCCATCTGATGGCAATGAATATCCAGGGGGCTGCGAGGCTTAAACTGCGCGACCGGGCCCCCTGTGATGACGTCAAGCGCTGGAAGGAAGTGACAGCCCTGGCCACTCCTCCCAGCTATCAGAGAGAGCCACGTGGGAGGAAGGAGAGGGATTCAGAGTGGGGACTCTGACTCCCATCAGCCTGAGCCAGTGGACCCCAGGGAAAGTCACCCTCCTGCACTTAAAAGGTAGGAAAGAGGAGAGTGACAAACATTTTGCGTGTGTGTGTTAGTGTATGTGTGTATATATATATATATATATATATATATATATATATATATATATATATGTGTGTGTATGTGTGTCTGCATGTATATGGGGTGGGGAGTAGGCGTGTTGGGGTGGCAGACCTATGGGGGGCTCAGGGCAATTTTCGCACTGGGGTCCCGTGGTTTATAGTTATGCCTCTGGTAGGATGTTTGGGAGGACGTGTTTAGAATGCACAAGTAGAAGGGGTAGAATATTTAGGAGAGATACTATAATGTATTGGAATAGACATATGGTAAGAATAGATATACTGTATGAGATAGAGAGAGGGTATGCAATGTACAAGTATAAAGGACAGGATGTATAGGGGGAGTGTGCAGGAACAAAGGGGGAATGCACAGTGGCAGGTTTATCGGACAATGTAGGAAAGAAAGTAAAAAATGTATACATGGGTAGGAAGTTGTCTAAATAAGGTTAATGTGTATGCTTATAGAATATATGCTGTATATGATGGGGGGCGGAGCTAGCGTCTGACTGGAGCGGACGTGTTTCATGGGAGCTCCGTAGAAGAACTTAGGAAATTGTGCACATACCCTGGAAATCCCTGCAATTTTGGTGTTCCAAATGCTACCCAAGCAGACTGTGAAGAATGGGGCGAAAAATCGAAGCAATTGAGAGCCGATGCACACCATAAAAGCCATCACATAGATGACTTACTCCAACAACCACCTAGGCATTGCGCCTCCAAAATGGCGCCACCACATGAGCCTTCCTCTGAATACTCGGGAAGCAGCTCCATAGAAGACCCTGATGAAGCACATACCTTGGACAATTTCAGGTATGACATGTTCGGGGCTGGGTCTGACTGCCCTGTCTCAAGGCGCGATGGCCCCCCGATGTCGCTGAAGAGATCGGAGTGGGAGACACCTGCAAGGGTTCCACAGACAGCGCAGAGGACCCTGACCAAGCAGGCCCCAGCTGAGCACTCACCTCTGGGACCAGCATCGATGACCCCACGTGTGGATGACCATCACATACCAGCAAGCAAAGCAGATATCAAGGCCCTGCTGGTTGAGATGAAGGACATGTTCGACACAATAGAGGGACGAATACGGGTAGTGGAAGAGGACTCCGATGCAAACAAGGGCCAATATCATGGCCTAGCTGAAGAGATGGCTTGTATGCGACAAAACCAGCACCAGTTTGAATCGAAATTGGCACTGCTGGAGGATAGTCAAAGGCGGCGGAATCTGCGGATCAGCAGTATCCCAGAATCCGTTCCCCTGCCAGAGATCCCACACTTACTGCGAAGGCTATGGGCCTCCATGCTACCATCAGCTAAAGCAAAAATACTAGTGACTGACACGCATTTTAGAGTGACCAAATCACCCAAGGCCCCGCTACAGTCCCTCGAGACCTGATGGTGAGGTTCAGATCAGAAGCTGACAGTGACGCAATTCTGACCGAGGCACAGAAGACCCCACACTACGATTTTGAAATCTATACCATCTCATTTTATGGAGACTCCTCCCTTTCCAGTTTTTTATATGTTATTATATTAGTGCTTTAGTGATCACTAGAAAGCATTTCAGTGGCACAACCACACTGAAACAATGCCTAATATAGGCATACAGTGCCTGAGTACCCCCACATAGCCGAAATCATTCAAGTTCTATATCCTCATAGTTGAGGAGCCACGCTTCATTAGCAGCCATGTAATTGTGTTCCCCGTACTTCACTCTTAGTATGCCTGCAACTTACCTGCCTGCCATTTATCTGTCACAGATTGACAGAACAGATTCCATCATATGGCTAAGTTATGAACCTGCAGACCACTTTTATTTGCTCATTAATGTTCTCTCAACATGTTAATGCGTGAACACTATGCAAAGCTCATTTCTTTTTCCATTTGTCTAAAAATGCCTCCTTTCACGTGGTGTATTTTCTTCTATACGACCTGATATCTCGTTGTATTGTGATGACTCATACTATTGTTGCTTATCCACATGTGAGTGGAGTAATAAATAATTTAAAAAAAACAACTAACCAGATCTATGGAAATACTGTAAAGGCGGTGGGATGCATTGCCCAATGAAGGTACATATGTAAAAGGTGAAAGATAAAATGAGCAATAACTATGTGGAGAGAGTTGGTGATGGAATGGGATTATGGAAAATTTCCATATGTTTTGTATAAAGGAGAAATAGATTTAAAAAAATATGCTGATTCGGAGATAATTGAGATTTTTCTTCAGGGTTTGTAAGATTCCATTTGATAATTGGAAAACAGCACAGTTTTTTTAAACTTAAAAATTAGAAACCATCACTACAGTAGCCTTAAGCTGTACCCCCACTACTTGTCCATTCCCCGTAAATTAAAAAAACAAAAGGGATTAATCTAACCTCAAATCCAGGTCAGGGCAATACAAGTTGGAAAAAGCAGGAAGAATAGATACAATTGAAGATGGTTGATCATATGTAAGTTTGGGTGTATAAATTATAGAATGTGTCTAAATGGGGGATCACAAGCAACTTCACGCGTAATTATTTGGTTCATCTGTGTAATAACAGTTGCTCAATTCACCCTTTCTGATATTTACACTGTCGAGATGCTGAGGGCCACTCATTCTTTTGTTACCTTATTATGTTTTTCAGGTTTTCAGTTCTGCTGTTACATGGGCAAATTTTCTCGTCAAAGACATGGGAAGATCTGGGAACTCTAAACATCCTGGCAGAGCATGGGTACCGAGCAGTGGCTATTGATTTACCAGGTAGAAAGCTATCAGTTTGCCACAACTTGATCCTATACCTTTTGCCCCATGACCAAGCACAACCCAACAAGAACCAAACCCTTTGCCTTGTACAACTGAGCTACTGCATGTACAGAGATCACATATGCAGGCCTCCGTTTATTATTTCCATATCTCTTCCTCGCAGGTTATGGAGAGTCTTTACGCGCCCAGCCAATGTCCACTGAGAAGGGTCGAACAGATTACCTTTTACAGGTCATGGAATCTTTGGGAACTCGGCAACCAGTCCTTATCAGCCCGTCGATGAGTGGTCTATTCTCTTTACCCCTCCTCTTGCAGCACCCTGATCGTCTAAGAGGCTTTGTTCCTATTGCTCCTGTAGGAACCAAGAGCTTCAAACCTGAGCAGTACAAACAGATACAGGTATGTGGTATTGTTAACATTAGATGCAAGGGATCATTGAGAATTCATATGTGAAACATCACTTGCAAATACATAATACTGACCTTTAGATTGGCCTAGCATTGTAGGAAATGTAATTCTCAAACAACGGGCCTGCTAAGGTTGGCATTCACTGCCTTAGAAATTTAGGAAGACCCAAATGTGGTTAAGATGTTTCATTCCATTATTTACATAATCTGTTCATTTTATTGTCAAGACGATATGAGTTATTCCACTGTGCGATGACTAACTTGAGTCTTAAAAATGACAGTATGATGTGTATGTGACACACAGGTGCCCTCCCTCATTGTGTACGGTACTCTGGATACCAACCTGGGCAGCCAGTCCTTGGAGAGCCTACAGCTGTTGCCAAATCATACCTTGAGCCCACTGGAAGGTGGAGGTCATGCCTGTTACTTGGACCGTCCGGAAGAGTTTCATGCAGCTTTATTAATGTTCCTGAGCAAGCTTTCATAACGAACACGTCTTCAATTGTTGCAGCAAGACGTGGAGGGAAATCAGCCACACGAAGGTCTATCCAGTGGCATCATGGTGGAATAATGGATATCTCTGCAACTTGTAGAATTTGAGCCTCATGTGACCAAAAGAAAGATGGCTTCTCACATAGTTCTGCATCAAATGATGCCTGAGACTCTACCTTTTACCTGTTATATAGGGAGCTATGGTCTATTAAATTATTGCATGATAGGGTTTCATTGTACATTTTGGGACAATGTGGGAGTATATGAGATAACATTGGGACAGGGGATCAAAAAGAGACTTTTTTTAAAGGTGATGAAAAAGCTTAAAATAAAACTATGACTTGGTAGTAAACACACTCTCTAATGTTTCACTGGTTTGTAAATATACATAATGTAGAATGTGGGCTTATGGGAATCTGATGTTCCCATCCATCATGCTTTGCTGGATACATATCGCTTATTAATGCAGGACGTAAAAAGTATTGTTCTGCAATATGTAAGATTTCTACACAGCAGGAGGAAAATCAATCAACCAAGAAATTACACCAAATTGGTTTTCTTCTGGCACTAGTGGATTTCCACATATTGCAGGAAAGCACTATTCATGTCCTGCTTAACCGAACAAGTTTAAAAAAATAAATAAAATGTTTCCAGGAAAACATGGCGGATCTGGTTACGCTATTTATGGTTGTATGTTGTACTTTTACATGGGTGGTGAATTCAGAGGAAAACTAAAGATTGTATTGAAAAAGGTGCCGTATTCTTACATTCTTTATTTTTCCAACTAGGCTAGTTATGTAGGCTCTTTCTCATGAAATCCAGATCAATCCAGGTCTGTTGATTTACTTGCAAAGATAGCCAGACCAGCAGTGCTCTACTGATTGTTCAGGACTTGCAGTGCAATGCTTTCTGTTATCCTTTTACTAGATCGATTTGTGGAATATGTTTGTGATAAATGTAATTTTTTGCTAGACACCCAGTCCTTTTACATGCAGTCACACATTACATATAACTATGGGTTTAGGAGGTGGGGATGGGCTATACGTCCCCCATAGATAATCTTGTGGGGTAGTAGGGGTGAGATGGATCAGTTTTCCCCCAGAAATATTCTGGTTAAGAGTCTTTTTCTGGGGTATAATTTTGGCCGTACATATAACATTCACTTTGAATTCCCAACAGTACTCACTCATGTCTTATGTACTTGAAATATTCTGGTTAAGAGTCTTTTTCTGGGGTATAATTTTGGCCGTACATATAACATTCACTTTGAATTCCCAACAGTACTCACTCATGCTTATGTACTTGGTAAATATGGCTGAGCTTTCACCCCAATTTACATTCACCAGCAAAGTCACACTGATTGCAAAGTAAAGGCTTCCATCAACGATTTCTATACTGTTCATGCAGCATAGTAAAAAAGGAAAACAGAGCATATCAATAGAGCGTTTGACAGGGACTTAAAAACACACAATCAAAATATATAGAATTATTCACTAAAGTGAGAACTGTTCGTAATTCAAACTGAATTTCGATTGTAAGATCAAAGTAATTAAACTGGAAGCAAGGCTCTCAGGGAGGGTTTTTTTTACAGTTTGGCTTTTTTTTACATTAATTTTGAAATTCCCTTTGAATAACCCTGATAGACAGCTGCCTGGTCCTGGGATAAGTTATTAGTCCTGCATGCGTAGAATTCAGATTAATCATTCTGACGTAAAGGGACACTCCACTGCCCATATACAAAATAAATACAAATCATTGTCTAGTAAATATACCCCAAGTGAAAACTTGCATGCAAATAATTATGCATTTTTTTTGACTGGGGGTATATCTATCTAAAAATAGCTTCCACCGCAGACCCCTTGTCTGCAGCCTTTGCAAGCACTCCCCTTCTAACCCTGCCCAGACTTTCTGTAGCTGTCCAATCACAGACTTCCTCATACAGCTCAATGAAACGTTTTTGCAAGACTCTGGGCAAGTGCTACCTCTTGAGTTTAGCTCGATTTGAGCTAACCAAACAAGGAAGCAACAGAACCTGTTGTCTGCTTGAAAGGCCAGGGGATTGTATAAGTATAAGTTATAAAAATGTCAATTCTTTACTTTTTTAAAAAAATTAAAAAAGAGGACTCAAAGCGTTTCAGCAAGCTAAAGTACTTCAAGGATCTGGAGAGTCCCTTTAAGACTGTTAATATGAGGGTATAGTGAAAATGCTTAATTCTCCTAGCAATAGCAAAGTAGTATTTGTCAAAATGTATTTACTTATTAAAGAGGCGATGGTACAATTTTTTTTTTGGTCATATTTCCTTCTGTAATAACTCACAAAAAGCTGTTTGACTGTTTACTGGCTTTAGGGTTGCCACAATATCCACCATGTTTTCCTGGACACAAACCTCTAGATCAGGGGTGCCCAAAGGGTAGACCCCAGGTGTTTTAAAACGAGAGCCTCCATGATGCTTTGTCATTCTAAAGGCATAAAAAGTATCATGGGAGTTGTAGTTCTACATCTGGGGATCTACCTTTTGGGTACCCTTACTCTAGGTGCTAAAAGCAGCACATGAAAAGTGCTACCAGGAATTATGTAGATTTAAGAATTGCTCAGTGAGTCAGCTTTCCCACCTGGAGTATTAGAATTTCCCATACTGCAGGGCAGTATTTTTTTTTTTGTTCTGCCTATCAATATATGTAAGTGTTCTGTGTCAAGGAAGACATGATTGATCTGGCAATCCTAACAGCAGTGCAAGCTGCTGAAGAATGTGTACAAGTTCTTTCAAATAAGCTGCCAGATAACATGTACAAGTCACATGGGATAATACAGTATAAGTGATGTCACAACAGCTGTGCTACCAATTACAATTGCAGCACTAAGTGCAAAAGGATCACAGCACCCAGACCACTTCAATTAGCTGTTTTTGTGGTCTGGGTGCCTACAGTGTCCATTTAAACTCAGTACGTGCAGCGTTTTATAGTGAAACACCGCACATACAGACTCAAGGCACCTTGATCACTTCAAATTACTGAAGTGGTCATGGTTCTTGGCGTAACCCTTTAACACAAGGACCCACAGTTTAATTATAGGACTGACAGGTGGCCCTGTTTAATTTTATTTACATTTTAAACCTACTGCTAGAGGTGTGTTAGGTGGCAAAAAAGACCAGGTGCTTTATCCCCAAGGGTACATTTTATGGCTCCTCCCACAAAAAATGGCTACAACCAGTCCTGTGCCATGCCCTACGTCTAACTCAGTAATGAGTTCAATAAATGACATTGTCAAACGAAACCCTTCATTGCATTTAGAGTGTTACACAATCCTACATTTATAAAATCCACACCAGCTGTATTAACTCTTAACTCAAACCCTTGCTGTATTGGTGCAATATGTAACCTGATCTAAGAGCACACAGCATAATGCAATATGTAACAAGGCAGCCCTGATCCAAGAGCACACAGCATAGTGCAATATGTAACAAGGCAGCCCTGATCTAAGAGCACCCAGCATAGTGCAATATGTAACAAGGCAGCCCTGATCTAAGAGAACACAGCATAGTGCAATATGTAACAAGGCAGCCTTGATCCAAGAGCACACAGCACAGTGCAATATGTAACAAGGCAGCCCTGATCTAAGGGTACACAGCATAGTGCAATATGTAACAAGGCAGCCCTGATCCAAGAGCACACAGCATAGTGCAATATGTAACAAGACAGCCCTGATCTAAACAAGAGCACCCAGCATAGTGCAATATGTAACAAGGCAGCCATGATCTAAGAGCACCCAGCATAGTGCAATATGTAACAAGACAGCCCTGATCTAAACAAGAGCACCCAGCATAGTGCAATATGTAACAAGGCAGCCCTGAACTAAGAGCACACAGCATAGTGCAATATGTAACAAGGCAGCCATGATCTAAGAGCACACAGCATAGTGCAATATGTAACAAGACATCCCTGATCTAAACAAGAGCACACAGCATAGTGCAATATGTAACAAGGCAGCCCTGATCTAAACAAGAGCACACAGCATAGTGCAATATGTAACAATGCAGCCCTGATCTAAACAAGAGCACACAGCATAGTGCAATATGTAACAATGCAGCCCTGAGCTAAGAGCACACAGCATAGTGCAATAGGTAACAAGGCAGCCCTGATCTAAGAGCACCCAGCATAGTGCAATATGTAACAAGGCAGCCTTGATCCAAGAGCACACAGCACAGTGCAATATGTAACAAGGCAGCCCTGATCTAAGAGCACACAGCATAGTGCAATATGTAACAAGGCAGCCCTGATCCAAGAGCACACAGCATAGTGCAATATGTAACAAGACAGCCCTGATCTAAACAAGAGCACCCAGCATAGTGCAATATGTAACAAGGCAGCCATGATCTAAGAGCACCCAGCATAGTGCAATATGTAACAAGACAGCCCTGATCTAAACAAGAGCACCCAGCATAGTGCAATATGTAACAAGGCAGCCCTGAACTAAGAGCACACAGCATAGTGCAATATGTAACAAGGCAGCCATGATCTAAGAGCACACAGCATAGTGCAATATGTAACAAGACATCCCTGATCTAAACAAGAGCACACAGCATAGTGCAATATGTAACAAGGCAGCCCTGATCTAAACAAGAGCACACAGCATAGTGCAATATGTAACAATGCAGCCCTGATCTAAACAAGAGCACACAGCATAGTGCAATATGTAACAATGCAGCCCTGATCTAAGAGCACACAGCATAGTGCAATATGTAACAAGGCAGCCCTGATCCAAGAGCACACAGCATAGTGCAATATGTAACAAGGCAGCCCTGATCTAAGAGCACCCAGCATAGTGCAATATGTAACAAGGCAGCCCTGATCTAAGAGAACACAGCATAGTGCAATATGTAACAAGGCAGCCCTGATCTAAGAGCACCCAGCATAGTGCAATATGTAACAAGGCAGCCTTGATCCAAGAGCACACAGCACAGTGCAATATGTAACAAGGCAGCCCTGATCTAAGAGCACACAGCATAGTGCAATATGTAACAAGGCAGCCCTGATCCAAGAGCACACAGCATAGTGCAATATGTAACAAGACAGCCCTGATCTAAACAAGAGCACCCAGCATAGTGCAATATGTAACAAGGCAGCCATGATCTAAGAGCACCCAGCATAGTGCAATATGTAACAAGACAGCCCTGATCTAAACAAGAGCACCCAGCATAGTGCAATATGTAACAAGGCAGCCCTGAACTAAGAGCACACAGCATAGTGCAATATGTAACAAGGCAGCCATGATCTAAGAGCACACAGCATAGTGCAATATGTAACAAGACATCCCTGATCTAAACAAGAGCACACAGCATAGTGCAATATGTAACAAGGCAGCCCTGATCAATAAACAAGGCAGCCCTGATCTACAAGCATAGTGCAATATGTAACAATGCAGCCCTGATCTAAGAGCATCTAAGAGCACACAGCATAGTGCAATATGTAACAAGGCAGCCTTGATCCAAGAGCACACAGCACAGTGCAATATGTAACAAGGCAGCCCTGATCTAAGAGCACACAGCATAGTGCAATATGTAACAAGGCAGCCCTGATCTAAGAGCACACAGCATAGTGCAATATGTAACAAGGCAGCCCTGATCCAAGAGCACACAGCACAGTGCTATATGTAACAAGGCAGCCCTGATCCAAGAGCACACAGCACATTGCAACTAAACAGCAGTTCAGAGAAGTAAGGGGAGGGGCATGTTCTGCTAACCAGTCTCATTCATAGGAGACACATGCTCTAGGGGTGGGAACAAAGTTCAGGAGGCAGGAGAGGGGGGTGGTTCCTGATCTATGCAATCATGCAGGGTAGTACAATCTGACAACATACGGAACTGCATTCTGCAAGGAAAACATCCACAGGTAAGCCTGACATCTGATCACAATCTAAGCGTCTTAGGGAGCACATCTTACTGATGGCCATTGGGGGAGAGTATGTACAAAAGATAGGCAAGTGTTTCTTGAAAAATGCACATCTGTGGAACTAGGGTTAAGCAGCATTTAGCACACGAGCTGCTGTGTTTAAAGGGATCCTATAGGCACCAAAACAACGTTATCTTAATAAAGCAGTTTGTGTAAAGATCATGGCCCTGCAGCACACTTCCCTGCAAGTGACTTACACTAATGTTTACACTTTATTGTAAATTCGGTTTAATTTTTGAATGTCTTGTCTCCCTATCTGTTAATAGCCCTCTGGATCCTGCAGGGGCCTCCTGTGTATGACTAACGTTTACAGAGCAAGATATAAGAACTTCTAAAGCAAGTTAAAATCTGATTGAAAATTAAACCATTATTTTACATGCAGACAGTGTGAGTAACAGCCCAGGGAGGTGAGGCTAGGGCTGTATAAACAGAAACAAAAGTGATGTGAGCAGTGAGACTGCATGGGCACGGCATATACATCAAAACTGCTTAATTAAACGGTTTTTCTAACCCTTTTTTTTTTTTTTAAAAACCTGTGAATGTTGCCCTCTCCCAATCGCTTGAAAAGCTTTCTAAATGCAAATGTGACTCACCTCAATCCAGTGCTGCGCTACGCTCCTGGTGCTGCTTGGCGTGCGGTCTGACGTAACGGGAGCTGCGCTCAAGTACAATCAAAGGCTTCTTGTAGAGAACTTCTAATAGCACACACTGCACGCTGGAAACAGATGATTTAGAGAATAGAAGTATTTTGTAAATTGAAAGAATGATGATATGGGAATGCTTAGGCATTCGCAGTGCATTTAATTACCAGGATTGGTGTGGACTTGTATGGCATGTGCTGACCTTTGTATGGCTGGAGGAAGCAGGTCTCCCAATTGGGACATACATGGGTGGAGGACTTACTATTGCAGCCATTTGCAAGTAACTATAAAACCAAAGTAGCAGAGTTGAAAAAGTATTTTCTAAATACCACAAACCATTCCCAAGACTGAAATGTTGCAAATCTGAATTTTGACAAATTTTAGAACATTAAAGTGGTGTTCTAAGCACCATAATCACAACAGCACACTGTAGTGGTTATAGTTCCAAGAGTCATCTGTCAGCCAATAGCCAAACTGATTTTGGTCCGTGGTCTGTAAAGTACAAGTTTCTGAAGCTACTGTACAGCATAAGTACCCTGTGTGGTGAGAGGCTCAGAGCTATAGAGAAAGATCTAATTGTACCAAATACCGATACTGCAGCAGTGTCCATAAATTTCAGAACATCCAATTATCCTGGACTCAGCTCTCCAGTCTACTTGGTGCAATCTCACCCCACACACGTACTTGGACATGGAATAGTCCCATAGACCAAGGGTAGGCAACCTTCAGGACTCCAGATGTTGTGGACTACATCTCTTTAACCCCTTAAGGACCAAACTTCTGGAATAAAAGGGAATCATGACATGTCAGACATGTCATGTGTCCTTAAGAGGTTAATGCTCTTACAGCCATAATGCTGCCAAAGCATCTTGGGAATTGTAGTCCATGTGTGGAGTGCTGAAGGTTACCTACCCATGCCATAAACCAACAGGTTCGCGGAATGCCCCTTTAATTAAGAGAGCAGAGGGCAATTACTTTCAAACTGGACCTGTTACTTTACACTAGATAAAAAAACAATTCACAATGCAACATAAGTTCATCCTGTGTACTTTGGCTCAGTACAGATTATTCAGATTATCAAAAGAACAGGGAGACACGGCAGATTTCAGAGAAGTAGATCTAATTCTAATGTCTGGGTTCGAAAGAGAGGACTGAGAGTGAGGGATGGGTTGGTAAATTTTGTTTGGGTGGCTGAGAAGGTAGTCCAACACGAATATTTTGTTGTGGACAAAATCCAGTATGGTGTTGGGTGTAAATCACTGACTTGGTAAAGACGTAAGGAAACAAAACATTACTAATGGAGTTAGAATCCTATAAAGATGACAACAATCTACTCTGTTACATTATTCACATATATATCTCCTGTAGCAGTTAGCGAATGCAAAGCTTCAACTTTTAGTCCAAAATAGCCAAGCTGAAAACTTAGCTGACGGAGAATTTTTCCTATTCAGCTATTTGGGCCCTAAATTTAAAACCACATTGAATTCCTGACAATGCTGTATTTAGTAAATAATCCTGTTTATGTATTGGACTATACATTATACTTCGAAGTACAGATAACGTTTAAATGTCAGAACTTTGCAGAGTCTTAATTTCCTTAAAAGACCACTTCATGTCATGTCACTCTGCCCTATTATGACTGTGATTGATTGATCAAATAACAAAAATATTCATTTGTTCGCAGTGAAAGGCTATCTACATAAATGTCAGCAATGTGTTAATGTGCTCTTGTTTTTTTTGTGTGTGTTTGTTTTTGGTTTTTGTTTGCTTATGCTGCCAAATAAACTTTTAAAACGCCATGTTGCAACCTATGACACAGTATTGCAACCGGACAAGTACAAGATCAGCTGTTATTCTGTCCTGTGATGTATTAGAAAGTACTATTTTGCAGATACAACCATAGCAGCAACTGTCAATTGCAGTGAGCCTTGATATTTTATGTTTGCCCAATAAGCACTTAGTACGAGTTTAAAGGAGCACTGTCACCATCTCAGGACTTTGCACAATTTGCAGAGCCCCAATGTTGACATGGCGGCTGGGGGTGAGTTTGGGGGGGCAGGTAAAGGTGAGCTCTACTTACCTGAACCTGTCACTGGTGAGCACAGCCATCCTCTTTCGTTGGGCTCTTTTCACCAGGAGACGCCATCACTACTGTACTCTTGTGCATGCACAAGAGTACAGCCTTGAGGTCAATGGAGAATCCTGCATAGACAGAGCCAATTCCCTGCAATTGTCAATGATGACGGCTGCTGGGGATTGACACTTCTAGACGGTGTATAGAAGTCTAAGGCAGAGGAAATCTACGGAGACAAAGTAGTCCATACTCTGTCTAAGTATATCACTTGACTGTGTTGGAATTTAAAGATATATACTGGGGGAGATGGGAGATGGGAGATGGGAGGTGGGTGATTGCCACTTTAAACTTGGATTCAGTGATTTTCTATGAGAACAGGCTGAGCGCAGCAAATGGCGTGCATGCTCTAAGCACCCAAAGCTCCTCTTTGAGAAGTTTTGGATTGCACCATGATTATCAGGCACAATGGTCTCACATAAGGCACAGCGACTGCCGAGAGGAGATTGTCCCAGCACCTCATTACAGGTGAGTTTTATAAGTTTTTTTTTTTTTTTTTTATTGTAGATGGAGGAGGGCCAGACTGTAATATAATAAAGAAATACACTAACATATTTATTTACATAGTTACAAAACTGAAAAGAGACTTGTGTCCATCAAGTTCAGCCTTCCTCACATATGTTTTTGCTGTTGATCCAAAAGAAGACAAAAAACCCAGTCTGAAGCGCTCCCAAATTTGCAACAAACTAGGAAAACATTCCTTATTGACCCCAAAATAGCAGTCAGATGTTTCCTTGGATCAAGCAGCTATTACCCCACTAATTAGAAATTCTATCACTGTTTATTTTTTAATGTTGGCGTATACCTTTTTAACTACACATTCACATTTCCTAGAATCTTGCATGACATTTGAGAAGAGACAAGGACAATGAGTTAGGATCTATAAATGAGTGATCACTTGGTGAATGAGTGACAACTCACTTGTACCGTGCCATAGTGCAGGTCAAATTCTAGATTCATATTAACTTGAGCCTGTTTGTTCGCATAATCCTGCTCATTACGTGATCCCTCCAACCTGCCCCCTCAGATTTGTGCTGTCCCTTCATTTTCATTTTATGTATCTGGACACATATCACACTGATGGTTTGTGCATGAATAGTGCTGTTCTGTAGTATTTAGAATTTCATATCTTGCAGGAGGGGATTTAGTGAAATAATCACTGAAGATCGCTCATTTATAACAATTTGATTTAATTTGTGCATTGTACAGGGTGCAACTTTCCATGTCCTGCCCAACAGCATCAAAGAAGATGTGTGTCCAGGATAACATGATGGATCTGGTAGCCCTATTTGCCCAGCTATATCTGCATTTCTGGTGCAAATGTTCCATTATCCTCAAGAAAATATTTTCATTTAAATTCATATAACTCAGCATTGCTTGCTTAATAGCCTGCAGCTAGTACTTATTTTTAATTACAAAGCAGACCATCTCACCAGTTTGCAGTGGTAGCAACAACAAAAAAATCTCAGCTCCTATTTCATTGCATCAGGACAGGTCAAGTTGGATGTATTCAGGGTTTGATTTGTTCTGCCTTGCCATGCGTGTGTGTTTGCAGAGTTCACCAGTGCTCAGTGGTTAATCAAAAACTGCTGAGCAGAAAGGATCTCAAGGGAAAGAAGTGTACTGAGTGGAGACAGAAGGTCTACCGTTTATAAATATATGACAAAGAGACGTAGAAACCTCGACTGTGAAAAGACAGACAGGACATAGTGGCATGTGACTGTTTAAGGCATAGTGACAGGTGTTACAAATACGGCACAGTGATCACCACTGAGACCATTATAGCATAGTGACTGCTCTATTAAAAGAGCAGAGACAGAGTTGAGTAATAATTAATATTAATACTGTATTTCTTGAAATCTGTGATAGCTATGATGAAGCATATCTACTTTAAGGCTGTTAGAGCAGGATGGTAAATGTAGTATAGACAGATACTCCGTAACAGGGAAGGACATTTTAGTAAGAGTCCGGTTACGGCAAGAGAGGTGTTAAAACAAGTCTGCAGTGATTTGCCTGGGCAGACATTAAGACAGACACACTGGGAAAGGCTTAGTTCAGGAGCATCAACCTCTCCAAAGAGATGCCCAACTACGACTCTAATTTATGTGACTTTCAGAGAATTATGGGAGTTTTAGTCCACCATCCATTTTTTTAAGGTGGATACACCTTGATTAGATGCCATCACAAGAAAACCCCTATTCAAGGATTGAATGTTTGTTATAGTTCTGCTGATTACATTTCTGTACGTTGTATACAGTGTAACACATTTTCCACAGATGGATACGAGCTCTAAAGAGAATGCTGCCACCAGTCTGTTCCGCGAGTATCTGAGGATACGAACTGTACATCCAGAGCCGGATTATGGTAACATGACATATTTATCTATATATGTACTACATCATTTATTACTGCAGTGATGCTAACAGTTTGGCCTGCAGATGTTTGTGGTGAGTAAGTAGTCTTCAAGCATCTGTCCTGCTGAGTTAAGCCATCACTGCAGTACAGACATAGTATCTAATGACAGGCCTGGCTAAGTGTTTTTATAAATCAATATGTTTGCATTACAGATGCTGCGGAGAAGTTCCTCGTCCGGGTGGCAGAGGATATTGGATTGAAGAGCAGAAAACTGAAGGTAAAAAGAGGAAAGTAAAGTAAAGAGACAGCCTGAGTATGAGAGAGACAGGAAGATAATAAAATAAAGGGTGGACAAGTGAAATGGTACAATGGAGGATGAATTTCAAATAAGAGAGGAGAAAGAATTTATGGGGAAATGAGGTCTGAAAACAGCAGAAAGGGAGTAAAACGGAGATGGATTCTAGGAATAGAAAGGGGGAGTCTTGCAGAGGATTGATCAGAGGGGAAAAAGTAAGGGGCATAGTGTGATGAGAGAAGACGAAAAGTACATGAAAGAAAGATGAATAGATGAGAAGGCAGAATAAAATGGCTGAAATGGAAAATATATTTCCAAGAGGAGGAGGAGGAAAAAAAAACCACACAGATAGAGGGGTTATAAAAGTTAAAAAACACTTGAAATGAAAAGGAAAGATCAAATGGGAGAATCATGGAGAGCAGGTGACAGAATTAGTATTTATTAAAAGGGGAACTGTCACTTTTCTGAAATTTACACAATTAAATAAACATTGAAAATATCCTATAACTTGTTTAAAAAAAAAACCAAAACAACACACCATAACCACTATAGCTCACTGTAAGGATATGATGCCAGAAGAGAACAGGACCCCCATTGTAAGTAGTCAAACCATTTTTGAACAGTTTAGCTTCCTACCCGGAGATCTGCAAGATTTTATGCAGGAACTTTCGTTTAATCTCCTGAGCTCATTGGCTGAAAGTGATCAGCTGATGCCTTCTGCACCATCAATCCAATGCTTCACATAGATAATTATTAAATCTAACACAGCCCTATAAGAAGCTGTAGCTGTGTTTAGAGTCATCATGCTGTGTGCACTTCCTACATATCTGTGCCAATCCATACTCCCTCGGTACACACACTGACATATTTTGCTCTGTTCTTTGAACCCACTTCTTTTGCAGATGTCCTCTGGACGCACAATAATTATCATGACCTGGCCGGGAACGGAACCTCAACTCAAGTCTGTGATTCTGAATTCCCACATAGATGTGGTGCCTGTAGATGAGGTGAGCAGTTTTAAATACCTACATTAAGTACATGGAGTTACAGAATGCACACAATCTAAATGGCCCTTTCTCTCTTTCTCCCCTTCCTCTACCCCTCCACCCCCCTCTATCAGGAATTCTGGACATATCCACCATTTGAAGCTCACAAGGACGATTCGGGAAATATATATGCTAGGGGAACACAGGATATGAAGTGTGTTACGATCCAGTGAGTCACAGAGTTATACCTTTGTTAAAAGGAACTGGTGGAACTAGGAAAAAATAGGTTGAGAATGCTTAGGAAAGGTGGGGGTGAAAATGGTTGGTGGTTAAGAAGAGGAGGAGACCTATTTGTGTTTAATAAGATTTTTACATTAGTAGAAGAAAGAAAGATACACAGTAGTGTACAACAAAAGATTCAACACAATTCCATCACATGAATGCAGCAGGCTAACTGATACCTACCTCGAAAAGATCTCTGTAAGACCGGATATGCCATACAGAGCAAATGCATGTTCGCCATGACTAAATATATATTAATTAAAATATTATGTAACAGGAGGAACAAGGCTAAAACTAGCGCAAAAACCTCAGTGCCAGATGTAGTGTCAGTAGTAGTCCCTCATGCCTGGTATAAAAGAGAAAGTGAGACTAATTTGGTTGCCAGCTATATTATGTGCCAACTGAGATTGTCTGTAAGAGAGAAAATACATACAGGACAGTATAGCGGAAAGATAAGGAAAAAAGAAGGAAAGTAAAGAAAAAGAAGAACCGAAAGAGAAACAAAAGAAGGATAAAGATGGTTCCAGGGCAGTCTAAGTGGAACCGTCCAAGGTAAACAGTCCATGGGGCTCCAGCAGAAACAGCCTGTGCCCCTCCTAGGAGTAATGGGATCCTCCACAGTGAGGCACATTACACTGGCCACTTGAATCTGACAGGAGACACCCAAATGCCCTGCCATTATTCCTCCCAGTATCCAGACACAGCTTTTATCATTACGGGCACAACACTCTGGACCCTCCCCAAATGCCTGGAAGTAACTCGGATCCACAGGGCAATGTCCTAAGGGATGAAGCCATTTTTACTTTGCCTAAGTATGCTAACCTAGAGTTTAATTTTTTTGTGTCAGATGTGATATCTTAGAATAAAGTTTGGAATTTAAGGGGCAGAGATTTTAGACTAAGGGTTCCACTGTAAATGCATGCTTCACCAAAGCCCTGACCGTCGGCTAAACATCTGTCTTCTTTAAAGGTCTAACGGAAACTGGCAATGATGGTTCTTTTTGTGCTCTTTGCAGGTATCTTGAAGCCTTACGTGAGCTGAAGTCTAAGGGATTTCAGTTTCCCCGTACCATTTATCTAACATTGGTGCCAGGTAAGTTGTTGGAGAGAAAGGCTTGTATTTCATAAACCTTGACGAGTGTTAATTGCTGGATGAAATACAGAGTTCTTACCAAATTTGGAGTTTAGAGTATTAAGGTAAAATAAATGTTACCAAGCTAAAGCTAATATTATGTCAATGTCATGCTACTCATGTTAATAGATGAAGAGACTGGGGGACATACAGCGATGGAGCTATTAGTACGTCAGCCAGAGTTTGAAGAACTTAACCCTGGAATCACACTTGATGAAGGTTAGCCATGCTTCTTACTTTGCTTTACATGGAGGTCTCAAAGCCTCACTCCTTCTAGTGTCTGCCTTTCACTTTCTCCAGTAATTTATCTCACCCAGATAACATTAAATATACTTTTTAAAACTTCTTGAACTGACGTAAATCCTCACAACAACTAATCCTTTTTAACAACATTGTAGTAGTTCATATTTGTGCTTACTCATGCTTTGCAACATTTTAATCTCGGGGTGAAAAATGATGAAAGTCAAAAGATTTTTTGAAAGTCAGTGCGAATTATAGTGGCTCTGTCCAATGCAGTCAGTGACGGCACTACTGCCACTGCAGTCAATGGTACTGTATGGGGGTTCTAGATGGCACAGCTCACAGAAAGGGCCAGAGTTTCACCACTAGCCCAATTCTGGTGCTGATGGGCCCTCTGGTGCTGCCACCCACATGGAGAGAGAAGCAGGTGGCCGGCTTTGTCCCTGCTACTTTCTTTCACACAACTACATAATATGCTAGAGTTGGTTGCACCCTTGAGTGACCGGGACCCACCCTTTATATATATCAGTTATTGCACTGTAACAAGCTTGATACGACCAAAAATTTGCTTCTTGTTGTAAGATCTCAATAAAATGTGGGTGCTATTGACATATAGTGGTGCTCTGGACCATTACTTTTTGGCTTACAAATACTATTACAATGTTCCATGGTTTGATTGCCCTCACTGAGTGTGTGTATTCTATATGGGAGTGGCTGGCTGATTATGATTCTTTTTACATAAAATCTAGGCATGACATTAAGGCATTCTAATTCAACAGATTAATGTGAAATGTTAAAACTACGCCTTGTTTCTCTCACACTTTCCTCCGTTCACCACATATACTTTTGTCTTTACAGGTCTTGCAAGCCCCACGGAAGAATTCAGTGTGTTCTATGGGGAGAAATGTCCCTGGTGTAAGTGCTACTCTGCTAGTCCAAATATCAAGTCAGGGAAGGGCTCGAGCCTCAGACTTAAACACAGGAAGCGCCAAAACTGTGAGCCTGCAAAGATGGGTTTCCATAAACATGCATGTTTCCCATGGGTCCAGGTTTGTAAGTGCTCTGAATTGGTTTGAGACCCACATCTTGTATTACGCTCTCCAGCACCCTGTTTCTTGAGACACTTAAATAGATCATTCCACTTTCCCGGTGCACTTTGAAGATTATTTGATGAGAATTATGGAAACGAGATTCTGGCAGAATCTCTGATTAATATATCCCTTTTAGTGTCGTATATCTCTGTTCTTTCTTTTAGTCTTCCCATTTATCCGACTTATCATAATTTATTATACCATACTGTTTGGCCTGTCTTACCAGGGATAACCGTTCACTGTCCGGGGGACCCAGGACATGGATCACGTTTCATTGAGAATTCGGCTGCCTCAAAATTAGTACGTTTTCATGAAAACTTTTTTTATTTTCCCCTCCTCTCTCTTTCTCTCCATTTCATTTTTTAACACTTCCTATGCATTTCTGTACTGTAACTTTAATACTTGGACTATTTTAGATTAGAGAGTGACACTTGTATGTCTTGATAAACTGATGAATGCTGTATTTATTTCAAGCGGTTTAACTCCATGTGCTCCCATGTAAAACCTTTACTGTTTATGTATTATAAATAGCTATTCTGAGAGTTACAATTTTCAGATGTAGTGTGAGACTCCTAGGATAAACTGGTTGGTAATCTTAAATTGGTCCAAAAGAGGTTTATCCCGAAAAAAAAGAGCAACCAGTCACCTGGAATTGTCTTTACATAGATAAGTATCAAATATTCCCAATACATTATAACTACTTTCATATTGCCAACGTTATGTAAATGTTGCTGGAAATACCACTTAAAGATGAATTTTAGTGTAGAAGCAGATATCTTAGATTGCACTCCATAAGTGACAATAAATATATTAAAACAATGCTAAATGTAAGTGATTGATGAACTTGCAGGATTCCATTTTACAGGAAAGAGATTGGTGTTTAATAAGATTGCAGCTTGTGCCAATGTTTGCCACATGCATTCTTGTCTACATTGGTATATTTACTAAAACAATGTTGTAGATAATACCCATAACACTATCTCATTGTTTTATTTTTTTTCAGCATTTTGTGATTACAAAATTTCTTGAATTTCGAGAGAAGGAGAAACAAAAGTAGGTGTATATTTATGTGTGTGTGTGCATGTATATAATCTCCATTTGTCATGTTTATTTATAATTTGAACTTTATAAATCTGTCTAAAAATTAAAATCACTCTATTCAAGAGCCACCTGATTGGCAAAACATATGTCTGGGCTCTCTTACCCTCTGCTTTTTTTTTTTTTGTCTTCTGGGATTTCAGCTTTTGTGATCACATTTAAGGACTGTTTTTATAGACAGACTGCAGTATCTACATTTTCATATACATACATTTGTGTATTTTTTTCACACAGGGAAGTGTACAGTAGGGCTCAGTTTATGGTAGTTTAGTTAAGTTGGATCTGATAGTACTTAGCCATAGAGATAGATGCCGTCAAAGGCACTGTTAGGAATTACAGGGATCCCCATTGGAACAAGGTAAACCGTATTTTATATCTTGCCTGTCCCTCCTATGCTTTTCTTTATTTATTATACTCCAGACTGATAATAATAATATTATTAATACTATTTATAAAGCGCCAACAAATTCTGCAGCGCTGTACAATGGGTGGACTAACAAACACGTAATTGTAACCAGGCGAGTTGGACACACAGGAACAGAAGGGCTGAGGGCCCTGCTCAATGAGATTCCATGCTAAAGGGAGTGGGGTAATGTGACACAAAAGGTAAAGGTAGGGGTAGAAAAGTAAGAGGCGTAGTGTGTTTTTCTATTTTTTATTTTTTTTATTTTAAACGTTTAGACTGTTCAGTGAGACTGGGGGATTCAAATTCAAAAAACAAGTTTTTTTGAGTCATAAGCAAAGTCAGCGATTTAACTTCTCCTAAATTGCACAGTTTCCAAAATACACTACAACTTAGAAGTTCAACTGGTTTCAACTGTTTGAAGGAGGTTTGAAGCTGGCTTAAGAAGAGACAGGACTTGTAATAGGAAATCATTGTTGACAGTGCAGAGTAAGCTAAAGAGAATTGCCTAAGCTAAAAACCACAAAGGTTTGCTGAGTGAGGAGTCAAAATTTAACATTTTTAGTCCCAGTCAGGACCCTAAACAAGAGTCTCAGCTACCCAAACATCCTTTAAAAGGGCATTCCAGGCACGTAGATATTATTATTATTATTGAAAATTCTTGTAGTTGTAATGTTGTTACTGTGATATTATTTGTGTTTTTATTATATTTTTGGTAATTGATATTTGATAATTGTGCTACTCAGGCTAGAGTCTGACCCCAAGCTTACACTCGGAGATGTCACTTCTGTTAACCTCACTAAAGTCAGTGGAGGGATATCATATAATGTTGTCCCATCTGAGATGTCTGCAACCTTTGATTTGCGAGTACCACCTACTTTAAACTTAAAGGTACAGTAGTAATATCCTTTTTTTTTTTTTTCTCCTCGCTTCTCCATCCACTCATTATATTTACTATACAAAGAATTAAGGAAAATCGGCAAGGGTATTGCACATTTCAACCCCAAATAGCCAAATTGGAAAATTTTCTAAAACTACGCAATTTTTTTACAGCTCGACCTAAGATGTTCAACTTGTCAATTCTCCATAATTCTCAACTTCTTGAATAAACTCTAGTGTATTTAACCTTTATCTTTACTGTATATTGTTCCACTTTCTTCCCAGTCTCACTTCCTCATATGTTTTTGACAGTTTTTCTTTTCTCAATTCCCTCGTTTCTTTCTCATTCGACTCTTTTTAAAAAATTTTTATTCTGATGCATACAAAAAATACAAAAATAAGTGCTGCACAATAACCTTGACATTTAAGTGGATTTATATATAACCCTATATCTCTACAAATCTAGTTCTTCATACATTAGACTCCTGAACCAATGACTACTTACCTGACTAGGTGGCCTTGTAGGTGACCAGGTTCTGCCTTGATTTCCCCTATTTTCTCTGCTTTACATTATTTTTTATTTTCTCATACCTTGACTGATACTACTTTCCCTCTCCCTAGGAATTTGAAAGCCAGATAGAGGGTTGGTGCCGAGAAGCTGGAAGTGATGTGACCTGGGAGTATCATCAGGTGAGATGGGATGACGTTTACGGTGGCTTGTGACTTCACATTTAAACCTGCACCCAACCTGATTATTTTACTCTTTATTTTTCTAGAAATGTATGAATCAGAATGTGACATCCACAGATGATTCCTATCCTTGGTGGAAAGCATTTAGCTCTCCCTGCAAAGAACTGTGAGTAACACTGGGTCAAAGATAACCAGGAAAACTAGTTGGGTGGATTATAAGATGACTGTCAGAGGGCAACAAAGAGCCAGAGTAGAACAATAATACTGGTTATTATTAGCCAGGGTTATACACGGAGAGGGTGCAATCCAGAGAATGAGTGTATAAAAGACGAGTTGTTTCTATTTGACCATAATTAAGAACGAGAAATCATGCTAGGAAGTATTCCAGGCTTTGATACCTATTGTTCTTCACTTATGGAAATATCACCTATGGAGAAAAATAAATAATATACAGTGCACACTAACACTATAATTGTGGATTAACAGATCATTTAATTTTAAATGAAATGTCCTCATTATTATGCCGCATGCAGAAGGGGTGTACAAACACTGCCTTTTTATTCACTAATATTTAAAAACGTACATATATGTGTTGAGAGAATTGAAAATGTTTTTTTGTTTTTTTTCTTAATGGTTTTGCCATACTAATTTCCTGGTGTCCAGTAGGGCTATTTGTATCAGCTATTTGTTGTACAGTTGAGTTGGTGTGTGCTATAACGTGCCATTCACTGAGTAGATTCTGTTATGATATAATTCTGGCGTATTCTATTGGTCAGTGAGAAATGGTCTGAAATTAACCTTTATGTCTTCCAAACAGGGGTTTAAAGCTCAAACCAGAGATTTTCCCAGCAGGAACAGACAGCCGCTACATACGAGAGGTTAGTATAAGCATGAACCCAATATGGTTTCTTTATTTTTAAATCACATGTCTCTGTCACATCCTGTCCAATAACATGGGCTTTTGTAAATAAAAAAGATTGTATATTATGCAATGACTTGTATAACAATCCTCTGTTTCTTCTTATCTTGTGATTTTGATTCCATCTCTTTCTATATCCCACATTGTTTATCTGTCCATCTTGGTCAGACTCTCTTATTCCCAGATATAATACAGTCTGTTTCCAAACACCATCTTTGTTCCTCCTTTACCATTCATTTTGTTACATGCTTCTCTTTGCATACTTATACTGCCCATCACGCAAGGGTGACCATACCATAGATCTCAAACTTGTGTAAAACAACTCCTGTGTTCTGCGGTAGATCATGGTCCTTCTGGTCAAACTAAGATCTTTGTTTCTCCTAGGTTGGGTATCCTGCTATTGGGTTCTCGCCCATAAATCACACGCCCATCTTGCTGCATGATCATAATGAGTATTTGAATGAAGATGTCTTCCTACGTGGAATCCATATATACACCAAGATCATCACTTCACTGGCTAGTGTTCCTGCCTTTGATGGAGAACATTAACCTACAAAACCACACTCAGGGATGGTATTAATGTCTTAAACTCAGAGTCAGGGTGGTAAGATGGGGCTAAACTCAGGGATCTTACAATTGCAATCAAACATAAAGCTTTAATAAGTCAGAGTAGTACAGTTAAATGGGTAAACCCAGAGTGTCAAAGCACTCTTGTTGATGGAACAGAGGGATTCTGTATGTTTACAAAAAACTAAAGGGATCATGTGGATGTAGTCTGTGCCATTTAACATGTTTAAATGCCACTGGCGTTCCACATCTATGCAACCATAACACTAAAAGTGTCTTCGTCAATGCTCTGAATGTCTCGCTTCCAGTTTCCCCTCTTTAAGTGCAGTCAATCACATCATATTCAATTAACCCAGCGGATTAATTTATATAACCAAAGATAGCTCATATTTGATTTCGCATGAACTGTTTAATCAGTCTGCACAATTATATATCATTATGGCCACAATTTAATATATTTAGAGGAGATTTTCTAAATATTTTTTATATTTGATTTATATTTTTTGATATTTTAGTATTTAGATGGGGTTTTTTTTGTTTTGTTTTTTAAAATGTTATCAAAAATATTAAATTGAGGCCTATATTTCAAATACTATTATTTTTTTGTAAAACTTTACAAGTGATACAGTGCCTTCAACCCTCTGATGCAACCAGTGAAACACCCACACATAAAATGCTCAATTTTAGTGCATGTAACCTGCTGTAGGAACAAATGTGCTTTGTTTGAGAAACATTCGATAAACAATCCACTGAATGAAATAATGTGTGAGTTAGAATATTTTGTAGCTTATATTAATTTAATCTATTAGTCTGACATTATGAATAATTGTCATTTTAGTGAAGTCATCAAGAGAAACTAGGTGTAGATTATAGATCCTAATATATTTTAAACCAAAAAATATATAAATTTTAATTTAAAAAAAAAATGCTTTGATATGTCATCTACAAACAGAATGGAAAATCAATTACCTACCCACTGTCCATAATGCAGCCAATTTTTTTTTTGGCTATTTCTAACTCAGCTGCAGGTGACTGTCCTCCTAAGCACCACATTTGTACAGTGCTACGGAATTTATTGGTGCTTTATAAATAATAATAATAGAAGTGCCATCTGTACTTTAGCAGTAATGACTAGTCTTGCCCCTACAAATGTTTTTAAAGTACATTTACTGTAATATAAAATGTGGTGCACCAATATTTGTAGTGGAGAGCTTCAGTGGCAGATCCGGAAGATAACCTTGGGTGGGGTATTGCTGCAGTGTAGCTTGGCAATAGAGTGCTAAAATAGAAATGAAGTGAGGAGGTATAATAGACAAGTAACTATCTCCCGATTCCTCCCAATCTCCTGGTTCAAAGGACCCTCATTATGAACTGGCACTCACCTTTGTAGCGCTGCCAAAAGTCAGGAGGCTATCCAATATGCATGATCTGCTATATAATTGGTGGAATAAGTGTCAGAATATTTATAGGAGTCAGAAATCTGTTTTGTATAAAAAACCACCCATATAATATGAAATATTCTTCAGGTATCTAGCTGTCCGCTCTCTCAATCTGATTTTATCAAGAGCAGTGGCAGACAGTCAGACGCAGACCTCCAGCTCCTGTAACTGTTTCTGTACATATACAACCAACAATATAAATGATAATATATTGCAGGTAAACTGTTGATATGAGGCTGCTCTGCAAATATTGTTGGTGTCCACCATAGTTCCTGATGTTGGTATTTTCCCCAGCTGGAAGTGGGTCTGGATCCAATACTGCTGAGGATAGCGACCTATCCCTTAGGCACAACATTGTATCTGTACGGCATCCCAAGTTTATTTAATCAACCACTTGTCAGTAAGACACTGTATGCCAGTGACCACTGCCATTTTATTTTTCTCAAACTTTTTTTTTTTTCTTACTGAATCACATTGTGGAATGAAAATTTGACATGTCAGAAATGTGAGTCATAAACATTTGCAATAATAAAACCAAAATGTAAATTTTTATAAAAGCTGTAAGAAAAATTATGAAGGAAATAAGCAACCTTTAAAAAGGGGTTTCTCTGCGCAACTAGATATGAATGCAGCTGCATATTTTCCTACGGCAGCCCGTATCACTATAGTTTTAGTCTCAGTGAGGAAACAGGCAACAATGATTGATTAAAAGTCACCATTTTGGTGCTCCATTTCACTGTGCGGCAGCTATTTACTAAGCCATGGAATGGAACATGGTGAGTAATTTAATTAAAAATTTACTTCTGGAAATAATAAACTTAAAAATGACTCTGCAGTCACATGTCTGTATTACTTAATGCAAAAAAAACATTCTTGGGTTTGTAGGTCAGTGTGTCTTCTTACGGTTTTGGAAATTTCAGTTTTATAAAAATTTATTTCACAATTTTTTAACAGAGCAGCCCCATTAAGCTGTGTTTTATTATAAAAAACCTTACGGGTGGATATTTCTATACATAGTTTTGATTATTGAAAATCAAACACACTTAAAATGAAGTACATGAAATTAATATTGAGTTTCTTGTAATAATATAGTTATTGACTGTGCCAATTATTCACCTCCTCTTCAGCTATCATTCACAAGGGGTAACATGGCTCACCCGTATCTCAATCTCCACTCATTTGTGCTAATCATTAAATGTATCAGTGTGTTAAATCTGCAATACTTCTGTATATGAGCATACCACTTTTTTGTATTACCATCCTGGCTCTGTGTATAAAATATAACATCATAAAATTGCCACCTGTCATGTGTATAATTTCACGTGTATGTGAAATCACCGCACACCTCTGTAAATATACATTATGATATACAGTTTAATTAACTTTGTTTGTGTTCTATGTACATTGTGAATCCACTTCACAAATCAACACTTCATATACTTAGTTTTAATATAATATATTAATATCCTCCCCTGGCTGAGACTTACACAACCTCCCTACACACTTTCTGGAAAAAAAGTTTTAATTTGTTTACTTGACCAGTACTTTCTCTGCACAGTTAATTAACTACTAGTGCAAAGCTGCCTCTTGCAAGAAATTAAATAAAGAAAAAATAGGAAGAACTATATAAATACAAAAAATATATTATGCATCTTCTGTATTTCGGTTTAGTATTATTTATTTTGTGCCCAAGGAGGACAAGTCCTATTTGAGATATGTTGAAAGTCCTATTTGAGATATGTTGATGATTTCATGACAGTAATTGTTTCAATTGTCATTGCCAATTGTCAATGTTTTTGGTACTTCGCTATATGCTCTCAGACAGACTTCAAATCCCAGACCAGAACCAGCGCTATGATGATGAGACTCACAAGGTCCAAACTGCAGTCCACAGCTGCTTTCTGGTCACTGATCCTTTTGGATTATAGCCCATGCTATAAAACTTTTTTTAAACTGTGTTCATTGCTAAGGCATGGTATCTGCAGTGTCTGTCTGTGCTCATTTGCATGTTAAGCTGGTCAACTCTGGGATAATTATGGAAACATGATTTCTAACGTTTCTGTACTCATGAAGGACTTCTTAAAGTCCAACTGGCGATATGCAGGTGATGTATAACAGTAATTAGGGTATTTGCACTGTGAGGAGCTTTATATATTTTTTTTGCTCGCTACAAGCTATTTGGTACATAGTTTGTTTATATGCTCAAATACGAGGATCAATGGTGAGTGTTTATTATGACTCAAGAAAAGTGTTTCATAATGCTAAGTAGTGAGTGTCCTGAGATCCCAACAATGACTCCTCTGCTGGCAATGCACTGGCTGGTGGGTGGAAGGGAATATGAGTTACACTTACATGAACTTGTTCCTTGTTGGCAGACGCCATCTTGTTCCTGCCAGACCTCTTTAGCTACAGGCGCTTCAGCTTCCAGGAGTCAGTGCCAGAGTTTTACTTTCATGCATGCGCAAGAGTACAACACTGAGGTCTATGGAGGATCCGGTGTGATACTCCATAGGCAGCCTTTTACCCTTTAGCTGTTACTAGTGATAGCTGCGGGCCTGACAAAAAATAGCTCTGCTTTTTCTCTAATGCAGGAAAAATAGTAAGACAAAGTATGTCTTTTGGCTGGGTTAAAATTTTGGTTAAATTCCAACACAGTGAATGTGAGTAGTTTATAACGGTATTATGTTTATGAAATACTCATTTTAGATTGGGGATTGACAGAGCTGCTTTAACTTAGAGATATCTTTCTGTCCCTGTGTACTTACTTTTAATATGTCTTGCAACTTGCAAGTCACACTAAAACGATCTCAACATTATGTTTTAGTTATTTTAAGGATGGGTAAGTAAAACTGATATTTTTTATAATCTGAACTGAAACCTTTATTGTCTTTTATGACAATAGTGCTTATGACTGTCAATTAGCTAACACCAAAAATCTAATTTTTATGTTATTTGAATGGAATGATTTGCTTGGAGCTAGTGCTTTATTTTTTTTTGCTATGGGGACAATTGGTATCTGGAGCCACAATTCTCAATAAAAGTGGACATCCACTGAAGATAAGGACATACATCTGGCCATCCTTCCACAAAACAGATACTGCAAGATAATATCACATATCATCCTCTTCGTACACTGGGGTTTTGTTTACAAACAAGCTGAATGGACAAAGTTGGGGGTCTCATAGGCAGGGTTTGATTATATTCTATACCGATCTATTGACAAATGCGCTTTAACTTCCATACTTCTCAACATTTAGGGTTGCCTGAGCTGTTCATTTATGCATGAAACCTCCTAGCATACTTAGGTTTTGTCCATCCAAAATGCCTGTTCCTGCTTGGTTTCCATAACTTTGAGATTGGAGAATATGATGTTTTTGTTTAACATGATTAAACCTTAGACACATAGGCAGAAATGTTAGAAATGGCTGTAGTGCTACTACCCCACTGTCCAGTTGTTAGTTGATCTGTCACTTTCAGGTATTTTGCAAAGACTCCTGAAACCGACAGATCAGATGTGGATCAAATGACTGCAGTGTACAAGGCAGGTGAATTTTACATATCTGAGGTTGTCCCTAGTGGTCGGTGCCATCTTGGTCCCTATGTCCATTTTGGCTCCTGGTGCATTCTTGCAGAATCCTCCATAGACAGAGCCTGAATCCCACAGCTGTCATTTGTGACAGCTGCTGGGATTGGATGAAATTATATAGCGGAGCCCTGCCTTTTGTAAACTTTTGTCAACCTCAAACTTTAGCATAAGACACAGTTGTCCCTGTACAGTATTTGGGTTGTGTTAAAGATTCAATGAAATTGCAACACAGTCTTCAGAAATAAAGTATCTTTATGAACTAGTGAAAATGACAGATCTGCTTTAAAGAGTTCCACATCCTGGACTTCAACTCTCAAGCTCTCCCCAAAAAGGTCTATGCCTCAAGGACAGCCAATGTACAGAACCCTGCTGAAGTGCTCTTGTATAGAAGGCTGCTTGAGGGAATGAGTGTGTGTATAGGGGGCTGTTTTTGGTGTAGTGTGTGTGTGGTTTGTGATATAGTATGTGAGTGGTGGGGGATGTATGTGGTGTGAAATGTGGGTCTAGGGGCTGTAATGTGTGTGCTTGGGATGTTAGTGTTTTTATTTTGTAGGGGTGAATCTGCCCTGTAGTGTGTGTCTGGGAGATACGGGCTGAGTTGCGTGTAGGAAAGTTTTTATCTTCTCATCATTGCTTACCTTTGACCAGGGAGAGAGGACATGATGATCCTTGTTGCTTCAGTGGACAGAGCTTGTGATCTGCACTTCTGGCAAAAGCATGTCACATGTATTGCTTTGTTGGTAACCTGCAGAAAAGCAATCCCTTGATCTCCCCAGTCAGTTTTGGCCCAGGATTACCCTGGCCAATTGGCTGATGGCCACCATCAAAACAACTTTAAAAAAAAAGAATTTTCCCTGTGTTGAAAGTGCATGGCGATACAGAAATAAGGACATAAAGAACAGTGCTATTCTTCAACAAATGAGTAAAATATATTTCACAATATCTTAAGGTATTGAGATTACCATAATAGTGACTTAGGTAAACAAGGCTAGACTGGCATGAAACAAACATAAAGCATAGTTAATAGGCTCAATGATCTGGAAACAAGGACCAACAAATAGAATAAAATACCGTTCGGGGGGCAGGGCCTGACCGCCGAGCCAGCAAGATGCACTGAGGCTGAGCTCCGGGACCAAAAGCCTAATTAGACTAAGTATACCTGCCAAATCAGGACTTTATTGGACTGAGCGTGGATTATATGTACCTTTCCCTTACAAAGATGATGCCGGTGATTGGCGGTCCCAAGACAACACAAAGTTGCGGCCTGCAGGCTGCTGGGATGGGGAGAGGCGGTTGCTCTCCTTACCCTCAGACCAATGGAGATGACTCTGCGTGCTTCTATCCCCCCCCCCTCTGGACCGGTGGGGGTAAACCCAGTCACCACTGGGCAGCTAGCTTACTTACCTCGCATAGGACGGAGGGGTCCCACGGAACTTTACACCGACTATCATCTGACCAAGATGGCCGTTGACAAGAGGCCTGCCTTGCTTCTGACTCCTCCATCTTGGGCCACATGGGAAGAGCCCATAGACAACGCATTTGCCAGGTTCTGGAAGCGATTCTGGAGTGTAACCCAGCAAAGAAAGCAGAGGCTTGCAGACGCAACTACAACCCAGATGAGCCCCAAAGAAATGTCGGATGACGGGTCTCCACCAGGACCGGCTCCAGGTACCAGCAGACCATCCGGGCTGAGGACCCCACGAGGGTTTACCCCACTACACAATACACGCAGATGGACGACTATCACCACCAACCAACGACAAACACGTGGACTCACCCGTACTCCTTGGATGGGGAAAGACTCAATCACAGGGAGTCTCCAGGCCGAGGGGCACAGACATCTATCCCACAACAAGGAAAGGGGCTGGAGAGGTACTACACCATGCTGCCGATATGCTGCAAGCCCAAGCAGACAGCCTGAATACTCTGTGTGCTTACCGACCATAGGGGTTGGGAGAATCCCACCCTTCCAAATTGATCTCCACCTGGGAACTTTCCAACCTTAACATACCATTTTACTGTTCCCCTGTGGTTCGTATATTGTTATATCTGTACTTGCCCACACCCTAACACAGCATACTCTTGTGTGGGCTATAAGCTAATATCCATCGGTCTGTTATGCGGCCATAATCTAATATCTATATTGGTGGTAGACGTTTCTAAGCCAGTGGTATCACCTTTTGAAAGTAACTATGTACAGTTCTATATTATAGCACGTTTATTTCTCTCTCAGTCCATTAGATAGAATTGTGCTTCTGAAGCTTTTATTTTGTTTTTCCATTTATTCTAAGAAAAGAAAAAAAAAGTGCAGCAATGTAAGCGACCTACATTATACAGAATATTGCACTCATGTCTACCTCTTTTGACTAATTGTTTCCACACCGCCAACGCTGAAGTAGACATGCCAGTCTTCACTATTTTGGTGTATACTATATTTTGGATGTTTTTTAAACAGATTTAAAGACATATGCACCATATATGGTTATATTGCACTATAATAAAGAGACTTATTATATCTATATATATATAATTTTATATATATTCTTTATCATTAGAGAGAACAGTTCCATATACTGTTTCCCCATTTTTTTATATCTTTATTTGTAAAGCATAACATTTGGTGTATACTCCATTTATCCTGCCTATAGCAGATTTAAAGGTGTACACAGCACACACTATTGCTGCACCTTTTTTGAAATATTGGAGTATTTTTAATATATTTTTTAATTACATTTTTTTTTTTTTCAATCGTCTGTTTATTAAACATTTTCTTGTTGGGATACAGAAGAGAAAGGGATGTAGGGGTATTGGACAAATTCACAAGTATCACATGCAATATTTCTTGAATATATTCCCTTGTTCAAAGGGTTACAGGGTTACAGTATGCATTATTGCAGTGCTTCTGTTGGATATCAATGTTGTAGGGTACATCACTATTGCTCGAGGAGGGTGATTCCCCCTGTTTGATCCCAACCTTGCGCCCCCGTGTGACTGGCTTCTCTGCTCTAGTTTTAGCGCATTGCTGGGTATATCCCTCTGTCGTTGTTGGTGTGGTG